GAAAGGGAATGGACAAGGAGCGACTCCTGGCAGGCTTCCAGCGACGGGAGTACATGAATGAATCGAATCAACACCCGAAAGAGAGGAATTCCAGATACCGTGCTGGTACGAGACAATATAGTTGGGAATAACTTATAAGAATTAATTAGTACTACCTATACTAACAAGATGCATCTACTTTTTGGTAGCCCAGAACGGAAGAATTACATAGTTAAACGTGCTTGACTTGGGGCAATTCTGGGATGAGTGACCTCCTGAAAAGTTTTTTCGTGAAGTGTGCAAGTTAGGACAAAGCACGCTGAAAAGACTCGTGTTAGTGTGTGTGGACAGTCGTTGATCTTTGCAAGTTGTCAGACGTTACACTCTGACTCAAACCGATTCCAGTCCAATTGTGTAGAGAAAGATCACATAGTCAGCCCAATTAATTGTAAAACTCATTCTGATCACAAATAAAAGTTAAGTGTAATGTCCAGTTAATTAACTCACAATCAAGCAATATATGTTTTTTTTTTATAGAAATATTGCCATTACGATTGATATTTTTTTGTTAATGTGCATAATATTTTCAAAGTAAAAAATTGTAAGGAAAACTCATGTAGTTTAAAACATAGTAAAACAACTTTATGAAATTAGTAAATTTATTTTGCAGAGCAATGCAAATTTAACCTTTTATGTACATATAGAAATCCTATAAAGAGTCCATGTTTATGATTTAATAAGTTCAGAAAGAAAAAAAAAGAAGAAGTTGCTAAGTTTTGAACAGTATAACAATTTCTTAGAAAGAACCTTTGACTGAACGGTTCCTTGCAAAATTCCCCGTTATTTTTCTTCGATTAAAATGCAATGTTGGCTTTTAGAACAGAGGAACCCATTGAAGAATGTCTTTAATAATCACAAAGATCTATCCAATGTAGATAGACATTTATCTTTCATCTAACAATGTGTTACTTTCCCAGTTATTGGTGATATGGTTGGACTGTCATTATCTAGAGCTCTTTGACATCCACCCACTTTTGCCATTATTACATTTAAGACACTTTCTTTGGTTTTTTCTTTTCTGCCAAAGGAAAACACAGTACTGGTAAAGAAATTTCTACCACTCTACTCGAAGAGTCAGGGTATTTAATAATAGTATTTTTAACTATTCATAAAAGTAACTTTCAAAAAATAATTGTTTATTTTGTTTGAAAGACCATTTAGTTATTTTTTTAAGGGTTTTATAATTCTAATTCAACGTGAGAATTGAAATTTTCTTATACATCTTCGATTTTCATGCTGACGTGGGTCTTATATATAATTTTTTCTAACATATGAGTCTCATATATTTTTTGTCTCTTTAACATAAAATTCTTATGTAACTTTAAAATTATAAAACCTTTTTTTTAATAACAAAATTTTCACCTTTGGTTAAATGTAAAAGTATTTTTATATTTTTTTTTTGGTAAGCTAAAGTATTTTTATATTTTGATCGAACATTTTTATACATTTTAATAATTTTTTAACAAAATTTTAACAGAAAAAAGTACAATAGAAGCAATGTACATACAAAACTCAAAGACTTTAATCAGAAAATATCAAATGATCCAATATTCATATGGAACATATAAAAAAGAGAGGGAAGGGCCAATCTTTTCATTAGCTCTATATAACGCATGCTAATATACATAACTAAAGCAAGTATATCCGGACCCAATCAATTTTATTTATGTTTGTATATTTAGAGATTGGGGTTTGGTGACAATGCCTTCACAATTTTTTTAAAGAAAGTTTTAAATGTATTAAAAAACAAAAAAAAAATATAAACGAAAAAAGAAAAGAAAACTGAAACTTACTACAAAAATAAAGTAAAAAATTGACTTGTGATCTCTCTGAATTTCAAAATAGATCTATGTTAGTCTTTTTGATGGACTAATGTAAGTCTTCTATGAATTTCAGAAGAACCACAATTTTGACTAACCGGATCTATTTTAAAATTTAGAGGAATCGAGAATTGACTTTTTTTTTCTAAAATATTAAATTGAGTCCTGTAATTTTAATTTTTGTTAAGAACATAAAATATACTCTCTCTCTTTTCTCTAAAAATCTGTGTGTGCACTTGCACACACTTACACCAATAGAGGTCCTCCCTGAATATACCTTTTAAATCCACATAGATATAATATGAAGTATTATTTATATTTTCAGAAAAATATAACTAAGACACGTCAAAGTGAGTAATTTTTACGTACGAGCTATGCTTTTTTGTTTTTGATTTTGTAAACAGCTATGATTCCTTTTTTAAGGCTTTTAATGCTTTTCTTTCAGATTAACTCCAATTTTATTTTATTTTTTTTATTAAAACATATATTTTTCATATTACATGAAATAAATTAACTTATGCAACACACAAAATGCAACCCACTAAAGGGAACAAGAGAAATAAAAGAGTGAATCTTATTTATTTTTTTATGTGGTGCATTAAATAAATTATTTCACCTAACTTAAGAAACATAATTTTTTTTTTTTATTTCGAAGTAAAGCAATGCACTTAACTATCTCTTTGTTGTCTTTTCGAGTATTCGACCATCTAGTTAATTTTTCGAGAATGTTCCACCTACAATTATTATAACCTCCTATTCAAGAAATAGGAAGAACCGTGTAAAACAAATCGCTATTAACCTCTGATTAAGAAAACATCATTATCTATAAATAGTTTTATCTTGATTTTATCATTTGATTGTCCAAAAAAACTGAAAATTGTAAATTAAAAGTAAGGGGCGGTAATTTTGAAGGATAACACAACTGATAAGCTGATTGTGGCTAAGAATTAGGGTTGATTAGTCTCTAATTCAATTCATAAACGAAGCAATTTGGGATTAGTTTTAAAAATCTTTACAACTCTATATCACAAGAGAAATGAATTTCGTTCAAATGGGTGAGAACAGGGCAATTGTGTCCATTCATGATGTTTTCGCTAGAGAACACATTGAATCATATATTCCTCGTGATAGGGTTTTTCTGAAACCTTGACGTGAATTGCTACGAAGGTAATCTATATGATTAAACAGAAAGCTGAGTTGAGATTTTTACGAGGATTGAAATGGGATTTTTCGATATTCGAAATAAATCATAGTGAAGAGGGACCCGAGATATCATATCACTCCATCTTTGCACCTAAAGTCTACACATGGACTCTTGGATATGATGCTTTGTTATATATATATATATATATATAATAAATAATCCAAACAGATCCACCCAAAAAAACACAATCTAAACAGAGCGAACCCTCGTACATTTGCCATTTAATATTCATAATATATGTTAACTAGTCTCTCTTTGACCCAATAATTAGTCTTACAGTCATAATTAGTTCCATGGGCTTTCTAGAAGAAAAGTTTGGAGGGGATAGTACATGGGGCTGCAAATTTGCAAACTACGTAATTAACCTGATGGGACATTGATTTTAAATACTTGTTGAAGATATATATGGTCATTGGGAAAAATCTACAATACCACTTTGATACGTGTGATTGGGCCAATCGAAAGATGCTATTTATAAATCACCGACACTTCACAAATTTTAACATGTCGTATTTAACACTTTTTGACACTCACTGCCATTCTGACATTTCCTGATATTTCAATACTCGTTGCAAAGACTTCAAAAAGGTTTAAAGGTTACCTTAATTGCATTTTGGGTTCTAACTATTAGATTCGTTAGATTACGATTGCGATTTTATTGAGTTTAATATAAACATTTGAGATATATTATATTTCATTGCAAAATTGATAGATATTATAAATTTAGCTTTATTTTTTGTTAAAATTATTGAATACTAAATATAATATACATTACATAAATTAAAAATATTATATAATATCAAAATATGTTTTAACAAATCAAAATTTAATATTTTTTAAAATTAACGTGTCAGAGTGTCGTATCATATCCCTTATCCCTTATCGGTGTTAGTGCAACATAGGATGCCATCTTAGTTGTTTTTTTGTATTGAAGTCAGAAGAAAAAAATATTTTTTGTTCCCATGAATACATAATATAAATTACCAAAAATACACCCAGTATATATTGCGCTGCTGACAGCAGATACATTATATAGACACATACTTTTGTGATATGTGGTCAGTACGAGAGTGGAGGTATAATCATTTTATATTAGAAAATAATATTTATATCGTAAGAAAATGAATTTTATCTTATATATACATAAAAGTATATAATTTTTTTTTCTCTCGTTTCTTTTCATATGGCTCTATATAAACCTCATATATTTTTATATGTCTATCGGAAACTTGACTCCCTTTATATTATACCCTTGGATAAAAGATGAGCTTGAGAGTAACATCCAATTAAAATGAGGGAAGCTCGATTGGTTAAATAAATAACTGAACATAATGTGCAAGTTAGATTAATAAAATTAAAAATAAGAAAAGACTTTGGCTCAATTGAAGAATAATGGCCCGCTTAAACTATATTATCAAGTTTTTGTTCATTTGATGCCTATTCTGATCTCTCCAACCAAAGCAAAACCTGCACAAATGAAATACCAAAATCATTTTAAAAAAACATGGGTTTTAGCCAAAGCTAGCAAAATTAGGAATTGAAGACTGTCCTATTCATTTTTATTGGTCCCGATGCCAACCTGTTCTTTAAATTCAGAAAGAAATAAAAAGCTGCAGCTTTACAAACAAGCTTTCGATTAATACTTGAAAGTGTTATGCTACTATTATGTATATCTCTAAAAAGTTGATAAAGCAAAAGAGATGTACGTTTAACCAACAAGAGGAACGCTTTCCAAAACACCATCAAGCCTTTCCCACATGAAGTAATTAACTACATATATTATTCCCTCTTCAGTAACTAATAAGCTAAGATTAGTCGGCTAGGTAGCTAAGTTGTATGCTGAGAATTAGCAAAATCATTTACCAGCTTGTAAGCATTAATCAGCTGGAAAGAGAAAAAGAAAAGTTGGTACACAAAAATATATACTTTACACATAAGATAGAGAGGGAAAGGGAGATTTCAGGTCCTACAAATTGCAGAACATTACAAGGCTATTGGCCTTTCTTTAGCAAACCCCAAAAGCTGTTTTCACAAGATTAAGAAAACAAAAAAAAAGTGCTAAATAGGTACAAAGCATTGAAGACCCTCCATACCTTCAAATACCCTCTTCTTATTAGTGTCCCCAACTTTTTCAACTAGTTAATTTCTATTTTTGTAGCGCATATTACAAAATTTAAGCCCCCACTTCCCCCACAGTATTAGCACTAATAAGTAATTAACACTAGCCCAGCACATCATCCTCCACTTTGTAGTTTGTCACATAATGGAGCAATATCCACCTTCGTATTCATCGTCATCATCACCATAGTGCTTGATTGGATCAGACGGTGGAGGAAGTGGTGGCAGTCGAGAGTATGCAGAAGTATAAGCATGCATAGGCATAATAGGGGCCCCAACATAATGCGAAGCACTAGCAATTGGATATGCTGTGTTATAGTTTAAACCATATGCCGGAGAAGGTGAATAGTACATATGTGGATATGGGTAGGCATGCTGAATTGGAGGGCTAATGAGATCATTGGAAGCCATAGAAGTGGTAAAACTTGTAGGGGCTGGCGCATCTAATGTACTAATAATTTCTTCTCCTCCTCCATTATTAGGAGGAACAGAACCACCGTTTCCCCCCTTGTTCTTGTTCTTGTTCTTCTTCTTTTTCTTCTTTTTACCACCTTCACCACCACCACCACCACTTCCCTCCTCACAGTCATCACTAAGACCTTCTTTGTCTGAATCTTCACCAGCAGTGTTTATACAACCCTCATCGGAACCAACATCACCAACTGGTTTATTATTCTTCTGGTCTTCCTTCTCCTTATTATTATTATTATCACCACCACCACCCTTGGATTTTCCAGACTTCTTATCTTTCTTCTCAACAGGCTTTTCTGGCCAAAGCTCCACTGATTTCCCTGATCTTGAAAGCTTCTTGATGAGAGTCTCAGCATCCACGTTACCAGTGACCGTAACCTTGTGATGCTGAGAATCAATCTCTGATGTATAAACCCCTGTATCGATGGCAAATACATAATCAGTTTTTTTTGTTTTTTTTTCTTGACATGGACAATCATATGATTAGTTACTTCTATGTTAAGAGTTAAGACAGTTATATAATGTATATCACCAAGGCATGCATGGCAAAGTTTGAAGTGGAGATATATCTATTAAAAAAAGGAAAAAGAAAAAAAAGATACCATCAATTCCCTGAAGAACTTTCTTAACACTCTTTTTGCAGCCATCGCAGTGGATCAAGACTTTCAAAACCCACTTCTGTAGAATGAATAGAGTAATTACTAATTAGAGTGAAGTTGAACAGAACGAATACCGAACAGATTGAGAGAAGCTACTTATATACAAGCAAATTCAAAATAGGAAGTGGAACTGAGAGAGCAAGCAAAAGTGGATTTTTGTTGATCACCTGGTACTTGAGTTCTCCAGGAGGAGCTTCTTCAGCTGGCCTTGCTGCCATTTGGGTTGGTACCTTGGTGGAGTGGAAAGTAAGGGACCAGGAAAGTTGATCTCAAGTAAGAGAGTGTGTTTGTGTGTGTTTTTGTTCGTTGCCAAAGGATTTAAAGGGGATAAGGGTGACATGGAGCAAGGGGGAGTTAAATATAGGAGTTTATTTTTCTCATTTTACACGTGAGAAAACAAATCCTTCTTACACACACCATAAAAAGATGTGTCACTCTTTTTTTTGTTTTTCAAATAAATAGATTCCACATTTGATGTATCTATGACATGAGATTAAAATTCTCCTACAACATAAGATTTATTTTTCCCAATAAATAAATGGTACAAGAAGAAAGGTATTTGGAGAGACATCAGAGCACTCATTTATGTGGATGCCACATCACCTTTAACATTATCCCACAAGGCACTCACCAATATGCTCATGACACATCAGCAAAGTCACGTGACTCACTCACGTGACACACAAGGAGGATATTCTGTTGGGGTAGCAATGTAGCATGTGGCCATGTGGTAAAAGTAACCCCCACCAAAGGGAGGGCTAAATCTTCTAGTTCAACAATATTATATGATAGGATTAAGGTCCTGATCAATCTTAAATAAGTGATTCGTGTTTTTTCCGTAGAATGTGAAAAACAGATGTGGGGTCTAGGTAGTCCTTTTGATCAACTTTTGTGGCAGCATTTCTGTCATATCACACGGTTTTGAAGCCTTCATCACTTTTAGTACCACAAGTTTTCTGACTCCGATAGCAGAGCTCCCAGAGAATACAACCAATATTATAAATGGGTCCACCTCCCATGGAAGCTAGAAGGTTCATATTGCTATCTTGATGCTGGCTAATCAAGATTACTCTTCAACTAAAACAGGTTACAAGTTGGAACAAAAGGTAACCTGCGAGAGAAGATATAACAATAGGGGAATATTTTTCTCCTTTAACAGGAGCGAAGAGTTATTTTTTTACTGAGACAAAAAAGTGAGATTAACAATTTAAAAAAAAATAAAAATAAAAACAAAAGCTTGACACAAAAGTCGATATTTGTGTAAGAATAAAATCTTGTCTCGAGAAAGAAACATTCTTCGGATAGGAAGAAAAAAATTGAAAAAAAAAAACCTACCGGTGACATTTGTAAATAAAACGATGAATTCCCTCTGTCGCGTATCCCCCGATTAATGCAGCCTGATATGCTTCAATTATAAGTTTATAGTATTAAGCGAAAGGTTATACCTATACCTATGGAGTTAGCCCAACCCTACTCCATTAGTACCAATAGGCAGCACGGAGGAAGAAGCACTACGTTTAGGAATCAACAACATGAAAACTTTGTAAAAAAAATCTCTCTCCTTTTTCTTATGAGATCGGAAAGGAAAAAAAGCATTTCCCGTAACAATAATAGTAATAATAAATGCCCAATATGTTATCATTATTTGCTTTTTATTTAACTAGTCTTATAAAAAAAAATTATTACGATGATGAGTATATGTAAATCTCTTGATTTTAAACTTTTTATGCATGCATATTGTCAAAATAATCAAAGCCAATGACCAAATTGTACGGGTTGTTCTCATAGCATGCCCATTCTTGCTTTTACAGTTTACAGTGGTACTTGTCTGGCGAGTGGTTAGCTCGTTAGGTTGATAACTGATAAGCATATGAACTGCCTATCCCCACAGGACTGAGATTATATTAACTCATCAGCATTCAACGATTTCTCCAACCCACGCAGATTTTAAGGTGCCATTTATCACTTGACCAATCCATGCTCTGATGCTCCTAACACTTCACTTTATACGTTCCATCAAATAAATGCATAATAATTTTGCCTCTTATGCGAATGACGGTAGCAGGTTTTCTTCCTAAATTAACCTCATCTATTTTTACAGACCATTAATTTAGAACCATTGAGTCATTCAACCAGCTAATGATAGCCTTAATTGATTCTTTTGGAGAACAATTTCAAACGATTTCAAGCAAGCAGACAAATAATTAAACAGATAAAGCAAATAATGCGTCTAAGAAGCCCACAGGTGCTTGGAATCACTGTCAAACAATAGGAATTTGAATCGCAATTTACAGCAAAGGGCTACTGGCACAGAGTTAGCCGATGCCCGAATACTGTCATTGTTTCTTCTTCGGGAAAAGAATTTCACGACCCGTAAGACTTCTACCTCCACGCGGCATTGCTCAGTCAGACTTTCGCCCATTGCGGAATATTCCCCACTGCATACAACACATTCTTGTATACATGGTTACCAAAACAATGTTTTCCGACGATTAAGGAGCAAAAAGGGTTAGCATTTTTTTTAGTAGGTAAAGGGTTTGCTTTTAAATCTCTACCGTGTAATTTACTATTTTTGAAGCCATAAAGGTTATCCACGGAGTACAACAAGTTCCAGCACACAGCAACCAGAAGTTAAACAGAAACTGTATCTCCCCGAGAAACTCGTGTAGACAAAATTAATAAACAATTAACTTATCATCATCTTCATTAGGTAATAGCCTAAAATTCTGTGCCAAACAGTTATTTATAATATATGATAACTTACTTGTTAATTGAATCTACAAAAAAAATCTCGTCTCCTCGGCAAATTCCAAACAACGGAAAATAATTTCCAAAGCAAGACCAGAGCAACCAATACCATAAGATGCCTTAGGCCTATGGTGTTCCTTACAAGTTACAACATCTTGCCCCAAGGACGGAAAGAAAAACAAACCGCTGGAAAGGCTGAATAGTAAAGTATGTAGGTCCTGAACTACTACTACTCCTTTAAAGGAAATAATGAAAAAGATAACATGATATCTCCCACGGCATAGCTAAAAGCAATTATATATTACAATTCTTAAATACTCCCGTAAGAAAACAAAATCCTAACCAGAAGCTACCTGTTTTATGCATGCATTTCATAGACCTCATTTTAAAAATGCAAAGTGAAAGCAAATTTCAAAATGCGATGGTGGTGTCTCGAGCAAAAATTAGTAATAAAACAATAGATTATCACTGTAGTGTAGAAGTTCCACTTCAAACTATTAATCACTAGAAATAGAATATTAGATTCTACGCAGTCTTTTGGCAAATGATATAGCCGTAATATTCAATATTAAGAACAAAAACATCCATATCAATGTACAGCATGATAATGGCCACCCACCAGGTTATCTTCCACTTTGAGTAAACTAATGGTTTTGACATGCTTTTGGAAAAGTTACCTGCGATTATCCTCATCAATATTTTATTTCTCATCTACGATCTAAAGACCAATGAAAAAGAAGGTGGTCATCCCTATCAAAATTATGACGTAGTCAAACAGTAATGAAGGTGTACAGCACAACCTACACTTACCAGGCCACATTGAAAATTTCAGCAGGATAAAGAAGGTTCAAAACTTCAAGTCAAATATCTTCTAGGAATATACTTGGTAAGAATCAAAATGAAATTGTCATGACATGAGCTTTCTATAATTTTCGTTTACATATTCGTCCAACTCCTCTCTTAGATTGAGCTTTCTCTAGCGTCTGACCAATCAGAGCATAAAAGCTAGCAACCATATTTGCTCCAAGAGGTTACAATTTATATGCAATACTATTACTGAGATGATATTTTCTCCACAACGTCAATATTTAGTATTTACTACTTATGTGAAGCCAGAAAAAAATTCTCATCCTATGACAACAAATTGCCAAAGAAAACAAACGATAGATGCATTGAAAATGCCCTTCTCAAGGTCACAAAATGGAAGCAGAATCTGTTTAAAAGAGGCAGAACACGAACAAGTTTCCATCTCTATTTCGGCCCACGACAGGATAACCACAGACTGGCTTACGTTAGCCACTTTCACTACTTAGTACTTACCCAGTACAAGAACAACAAAGAACAATTAAAAATTTTAAACCATCAAACATTATGTATTCGAAAAGCATTTTACAACCAATCAACTACAGTCATTTTCAAAAACAATAACAAAACCTCCCACTATGAAGTAGGCAACCTTATCTTACATTTGCAAGAGGCTAATTACATGAATCAAACCTATGGCCTACCAGTCTCATGACGACAACGACAACACAAACAATCGTGCCAAGGTTCAATAAGATTATGCTTATTCTCCTATAGTAATCTTAAAATTTTAAGTTACAAAATTTAACATTGAAACTTGAACAGTAGCATATGTTGTGGAATTTTAAAAAAGAGATACAGAAAAGCACTCATGGTCATGGATTTAGGCATTAGATGGAAGAAATACATAAACAAATCCGAAGAACACAAGTAGGCTATGAAGTGTGGTTGTTAAATGCCTTGATACAGAAAACAACACCTGAGGTGAGTGAAGCAAGAATGATGAAGGCTCCATTCCTGGAGAGCCAAAACTCAACCCAAGTCAAGGGTCTGGAGACCTCAACCAAAACCTTCTGAAATTGTTGATTCAAGTCATCGAGTGAACCAGTGTTATCTATTACTATATCTGCTTTACCCCTTTTAACATCCAGTGGCATCTGAGCATGAATCCTGTCCCGAGCATCCTCCTCACTGCTTCTGTCTCTCGTTAAGAGTCTTTGAATCTGTGTTTCAGGATCAACCCATACAACAATAATCGGCTTCGTGAACTTGTCCATCTTGGCCTCAAATAACAAAGGCACATCAAGAACAATAACCTTATAACCCTTCATCCATAGCTTCAAAACTCGCCAAAAGATCCCAGAGGATATATAAGGAGCTAGCAATCTAAAACAAGAATAAGCAATTCAAATACAAATTCCTGCAACATTATGTATAAATAAAACAATCTAAAAATAATAATAATAATTTGAATACCGATTGAGAAATTGACGCTTATCGGGATCGGAGAAAACAATGTGGCCAAGTTTAGGTCTATCAACTTCTCCATTGTCGAGTAGAATTTCTTCCCCAAACGCTGCAACAACTTTTTTCCACCCACCACTCCCTTTCTTCAACACATCCTGCAAATTCCAATAATCACTTAACTTGAGAGAATTCAAAGCAAAACCTCAAAAAACACACACGAAAACGTTAAAAAAACGTACACGAGCGACGACGTCCGCGTCGACAACGGGAACGCCATGGGATTTGAATAGATTCGAAACTGTGCTTTTCCCAGACGCTATTCCACCCGTTAGTCCAACGATCCTCATTCCTTCGATCAAACGCTCTTCCCAAACGCGTTTTGTCGACTCTGAATACCATGCTTTCTTTCACACACCCTCCAACTCCAACTGCTTCCTCTATTGTAACAACGAGATTTATAATTTCACGTGAGGCTCAATAATTAAAGAAGCGCATCTGGTGTAGTGGTATCATAGTACCCTCCCACGGTACTGACCGGGGTTCGATTCCCCGGATGCGCATTTTCTTATTTTTTTTATTCTTTAAAGTTATTTTATATTTATTTTATTTTGTTGTTTTTTTAAATACAGCTTCTGATTTTTTGTGAAGGTATTGAAGATCAAGAATGACGATGAGCAAGGTGAGTGATTTCACAGAGAAAGTTGTGTCACTTCTGAAGGGTTTTTGTTATTGTAAGATTCAGGTTCAGCAGATTCAAGCGCAACTCATTCTTCAAAACCTCCATTCACACACCACCATTGCTTACAACTTCATTGAAGCATGCCAATCACATGGCCTTCTAAACTCTTGTTTTCTGTTATATACCATTGTTCTTCCGAGACCCCATGTTTTCATTTGCAACTCTCTCATCAGAGCCTTCTCTCACTCTCACATCTCCAACACCTCTCTTGCCATATACTCCCACATGCACCGCAACTCCATCTTTCCCAATAACTTCACCTTCCCTTTCCTCTTCAAGTCTTTATCTGACACCCGTCAATTTATTCAAGCTCAGTGCGTGTACACCCATGTAATAAAACTGGGTCATCTTAATGATATCTACGTTCAGAATTCACTTCTTGATGTCTATGCTTCGTCTGGCCACGTGGGGTTTTGTCGACGCCTGTTTGATGAAATGCTTCACAGGGATGTTGTGTCGTGGACTGTGTTGATCATGGGTTACCGCAATGTTGGGAACTACGATGACGCGTTGCTTGTCTTTGAACAGATGCAATATGCGGGTGTGGTGCCCAACAGGGTCACAATGGTGAACGCCTTGGCTGCTTGTGCAAATTTTGGTGCTATTGAAATGGGTACTTGGATACATGATATCATAAGGAGGAATGGGTGGGAATTGGATGTCATATTGGGGACTGCATTGATTGAGATGTATGCAAAATGTGGGAGAGTGGAAGAGGGGATGAGTGTTTTCAGAAGCATGAAGGAAAAGAATGTGTTTACTTGGAATGCGGTTATTAAAGGGCTAGCTTTAGCTAAGAGTGGGGAAGATGCAATTTGGTGGTTTAATAGAATGGAGCAGGATGGAGTTAGAGCCGATGGAGTGACTTTGGTTGCAGTTCTTTCTGCTTGCAGTCACTCAGGTTTGGTTGACATTGGTAGACAGATCTTCAATTTCTTGATTGATGGCAAGTATGGATTTTATCCTAGTGCCAAACACTATGCTTGTATGGTTGACATCTTGGCACGTTCTGGGCGTTTCCAGGAGGCTTTTGAGTTCATGAGATATATGCCTTTTGAACCGACCAAAGCTATGTGGGGATCCTTGTTGGTTAGTTCCAAATCTCAGGGTGACTTGGAATTCAGCGAGTTCGCAGCTAGAAAACTAGTTGAATTGGAGCCAGATAACACTGCCTATTACGTTCATCTATCAAACCTGTATGCAGAGATGGGAAGATGGAGTGATGTTGAGAAAGTTAGGGGAATGATGAAAGATAGACAACTGACCAAGGACTTGGGGTGTAGTTCTGTGGAGGTTGAACACCCACGGCATGTTAAAGAACTTTTGGGATAGTACTCTCTTAGCATTTTCATGCAAATTATATATAGAAAAGCCAAGTTAGCTGTTACTTCTATTAGGGGCTACTGCAATATATATTTATTGTCAGTGAGTCAGGGTGCATACATTGTATTGACGACTAGATTGGTTGTGATATTCAAGGATGGCACAAATGATTGCCCCTGTTGATCGAGTGTACCACAATTCACTGAGAAAGTAACCATATGCGGATCAGTGTTCCTGTAGATGGCCTACGGCTGTTGAGCTTCTCAAAGACTGCTCTAGATGTCAATGAGTCAGTATTAGTTCACAAAGCATCATCACTAATTGAACTCTCTTCATTGCGGCAAAAAATATGCTACCATCGTGCTACATGACATACAATTTAACAGTTGAGATATAATCCATGTACTGCATTTACTTGATGGACCTCCAAATTAACTGGCTATGTGCACTTTCTGCTGTGTCTTTTGATCAGATAAGACATTAGACAACCATTGCAGCTTGACTTCGGGCACCATTTGGACTGCGATATTCTACTCGTTTTCCCATAATAGAAATCTTGAAGTTTTAATGGGGATGTGGATTTTTGTACAGTTCATTATATGCCATTCGTCAGGTAGTTTCTTCGGATGCATCTTTAATTATTCGGAGTAAATCTTATATCCTTGAATATCTTTTGATGGAATTCATATTGCATATATTTTCATTAGATTTTGTTTGATCTTTAATCACTAATGTGAAATTTATTGATGGAAAACATATTGTCATATTCAACGAGACAAAGGAAAGCAAAATGATGAAATGGTTTAGTGTAGATCATGCTTTTGATTTGTCTCCCTATCTCCAAGAAGCTGCATCCAAGTTAACAGATGATCACTGAATTTTTTTGTAATTAAAATTCTTACACGGAGGTGAACCGAAGCAGTGGTAAAAATTGCTCCTTCATGGAGTGATTTCTTTGGTTTTTTTTTTTTTTTTTAAATTCTTACACCAATGATGTAAAATAAGAATAATCAATCCTGAATATTATTTTCAATACGACATCAAAAAAACTTCGTTTTCACTAACAACATTTTATAGGACTTGGATTCAATAGTATAATTTAACAAAAAATTTGACAATAACAATTGGTTCCATTACGAGAGCTCTTGAAAAATGAATATAGGTAACAGAGCAACAAAATTCTGTGAACTTACTGTGGCCATGTTTTGAACTTTCAGTGAACATCCTGAAACAGCTTCCTCCCTATTTTCTGCTTTGAATAGCGCGGATCTGAGACCAATCCAGGCTCGTGGTAATATCAGCTGCCCATGTGGCCATGCATTGACGTGGTTCAAACACCTTTCTGCCCTGTGTTTGTGCTGCGGATGTACTCACTTGGGTTCATCTTTTTTTCAAAAAAAAAAAAGTTTTCTATCACTTTAATCCGTATCTTTTTAAGTTATTTTCATCTATATCCGTTTTTTTACTCCTTTTGAACAGATATATGGTGTTACAGCTGCACCAAAAAAGCGCTCGTGATACAGATCCACCAAGGTAAAACGGTCGGTGCTATGTATTGGATTTGGACAAACTTTTCTCATAAGTACCCATTCTGACTTCATTCTCTTGCGCAACTGCTGAATCCGAGGAATCCCATTCTACAGCCAGCTCCCATACAAGATTTGAACCCGGTGGATCATACTGGTTATGGTATAAAAGAAGCGTTTAGTATTATGATGATATAACGGGGACATGCTTGTGACTGTTGTATAAAAATGGGTTAGGAGGCAATTCCTTATATGAAATTTTCCATTGAAAAAAAAAAAAAAATCACTACACATTAAACCCAAAAATCCAACAATAGAGTAGGGAATATTCATGTGACCTTAGAAAATGATAAACCAAATTCCGAGTGTCGCTTTGTATTTCCAAAAGTTTCAATATTTTCATTTTCAATCGATGGAAAATACTGGTAACGATATATACAATGCCACAGCTCTCGTGCACATACGACAATACAAATACACAACCGGGACTAGGAAAGAGATTTCATACTTTACCACAGCTCTCAACATTATTATTAACAAATTAGTAAACTATATGTAATTTACAATGGAAGCAAGAAGGTCGACCCGGACTTAATGGGGTGTCAGTGTTGACAATTCTATCTAAAATCTAAAACGCCAACCGCTACAGGATTTCATGTCTTGGCGTTTCACAAGGCTGTGTCCGGCTTTAAAAAGTTATAATGTTCCAGCTGAGTCATCTCCCCTCCATGCCCCGGATCAAATTCGCATCGGTAGAAGCTGCATAGGACAATCAACTGCAGATCATTAACATCATACAACATAAACGATATTTTTTGGGGGGCAGGAAAACGTCCACCAAACAGCAAGCATTTCAGAAATGAAGCGTACCCAAAAATAAAAATGCATAGATAAATAGGAACATATTTGTCTGAAAGAGGCACGAGACCAATGCAACGCATAGGAAAATAATTATACGTGGAAGACCAACTGCTTTCAGCTATCTTCTCAATTTAATCATAAAGTTAAATTCGGGAAAGTATTAGCTATAATCTTAATAATAAAAAATGAGACAGCAGAAACAAACTTAGAATTCTCCAGTTCACGATAAGGCCTTTCTTTGTAAGTGAATAAGCCAATATTTACACACAGCTTAATATTGAAAAGTGATAGTATATTTTTCAAAAGCTCTGTCAGAAAGCTGCGAAAAAAGTATTTTTTTTGGCCCCAAAATTAGCTAATTCAAACACGCACTATCATAATTAAACTAGTTTACACACTATAACGGAACCTCCAGTACAACATCTAAAATAAACAGAATAGCTATCAGCTACAGCTTAGAGAAAATAGCATTTTGTCATATCCTCAAATCATACCTTCCATCCATGCCAATAATTATGACTGTATTCTTTTGGAGACCAAATGCCACTATGTAATGAGAGCCCTCGTTTAAGTGAAACTTAGCAACTGACCACTCTGAATTGAAATACTTGGGCAACACTCCTGCAAGTGCAAAATAACATGGGATCAACAAGGGAAGGGGGAATTGATAATTATTTCAGTCTGTAACTGGCAAAATACCATGAAAAGAAAAAATAAATAAATATATAAATGGAGAGAAGTATAGCTTTCCATCGGAGGGAAGCACCTTGTGAAGCCAAAATCCACTTAGGAAGGAAAGGGGTGAATTTTGTCTGGGTAAGCTTTAAAAACTGTTTCTAAATTCCTCATGTCACCAAAAATCAAAATAATGCCCCTCCTCCTATAATGAAGAAGCACCAAGAAGTTGCTTCTACTTTCCAAAATCTGATAGTGACTATTAAATGAAATAAATGTCCTTATCAGCACCATGTGAATATAAAATTATCCTATTACCATTTATTACCAATGTTCGATATGAATTAATATATTTCTAAAACCATTTGGATATATTTGACTAAAAATAGTGATTTTCCCAAACAATACCTAATTGAGAACAATTTCACTCAAAGCATTGGCATATAGAACAAGCAACCATAAAACCAATTCTCTTCAAAATCTGAAATCTCACACCAATCCTAAATACAAAGTAAGCTCAATGCCATTAATTTAACATTATGATGTTCTATCATCCATTAATATCATCTTATAAATAAAATCCATTAATATTTGTCATTCAAACTTCTACACAGGCAGTCAGGTACAACAAATAGAATAATCCCATGAAATTGTAGAAAAGATTTTAGTCAAAATTTAACAATTCCAATACAGCATCTAAGTCAGCAAATGGAAAGAAATATTCAAGTTAGTAAAAACAGTAAGAAATTTTACCTTTAAATTTAATAAAGGAGCGAGATGAGCTAGATGGGGTAATGGCAGCATCAGAATTGGATGAGCTTTGTGACTTCTCATGCTCAGGGACACTGGAATTAACCTTAAGGCTGAAAACATGGACAGTACCCTTGTCACTTGAGACTGCTAACCACTGAGCAGTAGAAGAGAATGCCAAACTAAAGATCTCCGCTGCATTTGCACCCCTTCTTACCTAAATTTGACATCCGACAAACTTATACAAGAGGACTAAAATGTTTGAAATGCCCACACAGTAAATTCAAGCTTCAAAGCAGAGGAAATGAATAAGGCAATAGAGATGGACATTAGACATTACACCTCAAATACATCATAGCTATCAAACACAATTATTAACAATAGCCATTTATTTTAGTGGCAAGGAGCATGTTTCCCTTAACTAGAAGTTTAGAGTTCGAGTCATGGAAACAAAAAAAATAATGTCAGGCCAAAATGGGTCCAATAGTGTTCGAACCAGATTTAACTGGTCTGCATACCAAAAAAGAAAAGAAAAAAGGAAACACAGTTATTTCTTAAACGAGGATTTCACTTATTTCCCCAAACACTGACTAATGATTTTCTCCAGTGGTTAGTAAGCCTTTAGAAAATATTCATAATCTCCACTACCTGCTAGTTTGCTATATTACATGGAAAAACCATTAATTGAAAGGGATGAATTTGTAACAGTCTAAATATGCACCATAAATCATGGAACTGGACAACACTGAGAACTGACCTAATTGATTCTATTTTCAATTAGTTAAGTACCACCATCATCCAGTTCCTGCCATCTTAATGCCAAACTAATATAGATATTTGGGACCGAATTCTATTTAGCTTTCAGTTCGAGTTTTTAGCTTCAATTGACAGTAGTTTTGAACCAGAGCATAATGCAGTTCAGCAGAAGCGTTTACGAACAGAACACACACTGTTTCACCACCAGCCAGCAATTCACGCTAAAAATTTAAAAATTACAGTACTTATCCCAAAGCAAAGAACAAAGTCAAAATAAATTTGAGAAATGAGAAACACCACATAGCACATACTTCCTGAAGTAGCGTGCCATGATCTGTATCAAAAATCCGAATCAGCGTACCCTTGGTGCTGGCGGTGGCGATTAACTGCCCATCAAGCGTGAGAGCAAAACAAGCTATTCTGGAATCATGGGCCGAAATGAACTTGGTCTTCTTCTGTGCATAGTTCTCAATGCGAATCTGACCCTTATGCAAACCCGGGCACGCGAGCACGAGAGAATCAGACAGATGCGAAACTGCACAAAGTCCCTTAGGGTTCGCAACGGTCTCAATTTGGTGCATCAGCTTAAGGTCCGCGAAGTTGTACACGAATATCTTCTGCTCCACCACGACGATTATCCGGTCCCGTCGGAGACGGACACCACGAACGGCGGCGCGGAATGACAACTCACCGATGCACTTGCCCTGATGATCGTCCCAGATCATGACCTTGTTGGGAGGGTACTGAGGGTTGGACCCACCACCGACGAGAGCCAAAATGTTACAGCGGAACAGCATCTCCACGTGGCCGATCCCACCGCCATCGAACTCTCGCCGGAAGAGCTCCCGAAACGGATCACAGTTGTAGATGCGGAAGCCGTTGTCAGTGGCGGCGGCGAAGCAAGCCTGGTCTTGGTTGAAGGAGAGTTGAAGGAGCGATGACGGGGCCAGCGGAGCAGGGGAAGGTTCCGGCGAAGCAGAGGGGTCGTGGTGGGGTGGGGTTTGAGGTTGAGGAGGCATTAGGGAATCAAAGTCGAGGGTTTGAGATTGGTCGGGGTGAAAATTAGGGTTTGGATTTGAATTGGGATTAGGGTTAGGGTTTGGCCAGGGAGGTGAAGCACAAGCGGAAAGGGTGGCCATTTTGGTTGGATTGATTCTCAGCTTCCCTCTCCCGGTAAGCACGCACTAAAGAACACGCACTGAAGGCTCATAAGGGAGAGCAAAAATAATAAAATAGCGCCGTTGCCGGGGATCGAACCCGGGTCACCCGCGTGACAGGCGGGAATACTTACCACTATACTACAACGACTTGTTGTGAGGAACGATGATTCTAATAATAAATGTTGACTATTACTGGAATTACAAACTTAATAAGGAAGAAGCTATAGTTACTACATTTTTTTATCACATGTTATTATTAAATCCGTTGATTTCTGTTAATTTAACGGTTATAATTTATTGTTTCATATTTATTAAATAATTATTAATTTCTAATAAATTATAACCAGTAGATTGACGTAAATTAACGGTTATAATTTAGTAGTAATAAGTAGTAGAAAAAGAGAGGTAGCAACTATAACCTTCTTCTATATTTAATTATTTTAATAAAAAAAATTATTTACCTATTCAAAGTTAAATGAATAAATTAATATTATTATGCAAAAAATTATATATCTTTAAGATGTTTCAAATATGAAAGATAATTTCAAAATACATTTTTTAAAAAACAGAAAAAATAATTTTTGAATAAAATTAAATAGTAAGTTTTCATTACACATTACCTCCATTTTTTTTCAAAAAAAAAAATATCAAGTTGATTTTTTTTATAAATAAATTTAAATCAAAGCGCAAGCTAATTTATTTAGTAAATAAAAATTATTATTGTTCAGGTTAAGCACAAAATACCCAATGTTTGAATGGGCTACAAGAGGTTTCAAATTTTTCAACAGACACAGTTCGAAGGGACCCATGTTTAAAAAAAAAAAAATACGACGTTCGATGTCTCGTAGCAGGAGATCAAGGGAAATATTTAATATGTTACGGGACCACCTAATGATTTGGTGCTCCCTTTCACAATACTAATTTTTTCTTTCTTATTTTATCTCTGTTATTTTTTTCTTTTTTAATTTTACTCTTCTATTTACACTAAGGGACCACCTAAAAAATAGTGATCCCGGACCACAATAAATTCTCTCCGGATCAAGAAACCCAAGGGTGTTGACGTAGACGATGCAAACATGGACGATGAGATGGCAGAAAAAGAGCCATTGATGGAAGACGAGAACACAATGGATCGAAAGAAATACGGTTCAAACATTAAGTTGAGGGGCATTTGGTATAGAAATTTTTTTTATTCAAGAATCTCAATTTTTAAAAATATGATAAAAACATTCAATTTACGATAATATTCAAAAATCAAAATTTAAAAAAATTTAATTTCTCAGAAATCTTGAAAATCACCTGAATGTTTGTAACAAATTACTTATGAGAGATATGATAACTGGGAGATGGGATATAAGAGATAACAGAAAGAAAGAGTTTAAAGAATTGCCCCATGGAATAAAAAATAATCCCATATATTATTTTTGGTTCAACATATGTAACTTTGTTATTTATGATATTTATTCGTGTTGTCTTTTATTTTACATCTAATTTTCCAGGGTAGAGAATTTCTCTAGTCAATAGAGATAAATTATTGAGCCTAAAACGACGTCGTTTTATGGCGAAAATCAAGTTATTTTTGTAATTCTAATATACTACAAGATTATATTAATCTTTATTATTATAATATTTTAATCTTATAACCTCAAAACAACGTCGTTTTGAGTTCACTGAAGATAATTTTATCTCGAGTGACGAAAAAAATAATTTTTTTCCAATTTTTAATTGCTTTTATTTGAGTTCTTTTATTACATAATTGTTTAGGTGCAATTGATGGCACACATCTAAGTGCATGAGTTCTTGCTAAGAAACAAACATCATGCACAAGTAGAAAGACAATCCTCACACAAAATGTCATGTGTATTTGTGATTTTAATATGAATTTCACATATGTGTATTCGGGATGGGAAGGAAATGCACACGATGCAAAAGTTTTCGTTGATTCACTAACCAATCCAAATGCACAGTTTCTATGGCCATCTAGAGGTGAATATCATATTGTTGAATTTGTCTTCTGTTAATGAAGTAAATAATTTATATTCAAAGCTAATGCAAATATGTTTTATCTTGTGGATTCTGGCTATCCTTGCATCGGAGGTTTTCTTCCCCTTTTTAGAGGCTAAAGATATCATGCACAAGAATATATTGGTCGCTGTGGACAACCAAAGAGTCGTGAAAAGTTATTCAATTATAGGCATTTATCTTTAAGAATGACAATTGAACGATGCGATGCTTTGGAGTCTTGAAGAACAAATTTCTTATTTTGAAGTTAATGCCTCCATATAAACCTTCTAGGCAACGACTCATAGTGATAGCATGTTGTGCTATTCATAATTATATACGCAGGTGAAATTTACGCGATGATTTGTTTAGAATGTGGAAAGACATCTATCCTATGGAAACAAAGGCTATGAATAAAATTCTAACCTTGAGGGAACAAGCTTGAATCATAATAACTTGTCAGGTTATCTGATGAAAGTGCAGCGAAAATGGCAGCATATCATGATCATATTGCAAATTCAATGTGGGCACAACATAACAATTATGCAGTGTAGTTTATCTTATTTGATTTGTTAAATAATAGGTTTTACTTTTGGATAATCAATTTTCAAGTGACTCAATGTTTGTATTGGCTTATTATTAGTACATTAAACCTAAACTTATGTATGTAAATGTGTTGCTTAATGCTTATTTTTCTTTTTTGGTAAACTATGTGTTGCTTATTAAATATATTGGTCTTTGACTAGATTAACTTTGGTTCGTTATAATTACAATACATTGACAGATAGTAATTTTGTGAAATATATCAAATTTAAAATGTTTGTTACAATTTGCATTGGTCTTAGAAAATATTTGTAATATGATTTTTTTTAAAATAAAAAAAATCATACTAAGTTTTTACATATAATAATAAAAATTATTTTAAAAAAATAGCAATCAAACGAGTTTTTTTATTTATTTATTTTGTTCTAAAAACATGTTCTTGGAACATATTTATCAAACAGATTTTTTATTCTTAAACTTTTAAAATTGTTTTCAAAAAAGTTTTACCAAACGGATTTTTTCCTTTTATTATTTTGAAAATAAATTCTTAAAAGTTATTCTACAAAATTTTTTTTAAAAAAAAAATCAGAACATAATCCAACACACCCTATGTTTGCTTAATTCATTTATCTATTTTATAGCCACTTTAGTTTTAATAGTTTTGGGTTGAATTGATTATTTACAATAACTAATACTAGTGATAAGATAAGATAAACAACATTTATTAAGATAAATTAAACTAATCAAAATAAAGATAAATCAATCTAATTGAGATAGCATAACTTAATTCAAATAGTTTGGTTATGGCGCGCAGTTGCTATAATAATCCTTTTCGTCATTTGGAATGATTATTTCCAAAGAAATAATTGTTTCACTCTTTTAATTTAAAGCTAAAGTTTTAAGTTGTTTTTTTTCCAATAAAAGAAAGAAAGGTTGAGAGCAGCTGCAGATCGAATTATGGTCACGTGCAGTTTGATTTAGGAGAAATTTTTTTTAATAGAAAATATAATTAGTAAGAATATGATGAAAAGTTAAGTTAGATAGGAAAGTTAAAAAAAAATATTATTTGGTCAAGTGAAATTTTATCGAAAAATTGAGTTAAATATATTGAATGCATGTTTTGTCGAGATAAAATTTTGATAGAAAAATATGACAAAATTACAAAATAACCCTTATATATTTGAATCAGAATAACTGTTGCAATAAAATAATGGTTAGGGTGTCGTTCGATAACAGTTGTATGCTATGTTGCACCGACATCGATACAGGACACGTGATACGACATGACTCTCTGGCACGTTAATTCTAAAAAATGTTAAATTTGGACACGTTAGGATATATTTTGATATTATATAATATTTTTAATTTATATAATGTATATTATATTTAGAATTCAATAATTTAATAAATAAATAAAGTTAAACTTATAATACTCATCATTATTTTTGCAAAAAAATATAAGATATTTTAAATATTTATTTTAAACTCAATAAAATCATAATCATAATCTAAAGAATTTAATGATTGAAACGCAACATAATCCTTTAACTTTTTAATATTTGCAATGAATATTGAAATTGAAGTGTGAAAAATGTCGAAAAGATCGAACACTCACACATCAGGATTTGTCGCTATTTCTTATTGGTACTTGTTATTGTGCGAACGTCAATATTCGTCTTAGCTTCCATATCCATGTCCTTGTCTCCTTCCTTAGTTTGAAGTTCTGCAACCATCTGGATATATACGGGGAGTGTGTGTCGTTGTGAATTGTCAGTCAACAGCAACAAACACTACCTGGACATTAGGGCGGTGTTCTGCATTTAGTTAGGGTTCGACTTCGAAGCTGCGACCATAAACAAGCGTACGGCACGTTAATCCTTTGCTCTACTTCCAAAACATCTTGCTTGCTTTTGAGGTATTGATTCCTCCTCATTTTAGTTCACATAAAGAGGGAAGTAAGAAAGCATGCAAGTCATGATGACACTACACGCAACCGCTAGGATACACTTTTCTTCTGCTTCTTTCGTCCACGGTTTCATATAATATTTAATATTAATATATACTCTGTTTCTCTTTATCAATATTATTATCATTATTATTCCTTCTTCATTGCTCTCTTCTTTCCTGGAATGGATTCTTCTGCATTGACCTATCATTTCAATCGCTTCAGAACCTCCGCCAACTCGTTCCTATCCCAATATGAACCTCTCACTCTGCTTCTCGGTCCTTTTCTCTCTCTTCTTCTCGCACACGTCATTCGCTCCTTGTTCTGGGTTCTCCATGACAAGCGACTCAAAGCCACTCTCCTAGGGTTTTTCATGACCTCTATCAAGTACTATATCTATTCCATGCACTGTCTTTTTGAATTAATTAATTAATTAATTGATGATAATATTAATATGTGGCAATTACTCATTTCTTTGGTGCTTTGTTGATTAATCTAATTTGTCTTCTCTGTTTTGGATCTACAGATTGATCCCTGCTGTTAAGAGTCGTGTAGATGCTGAGAAAGAAACGGAAGGTCAGGTGTTGTGTAATTTTATTGGATTGAACTTTGTTTTTGTGTTGTAAATGGAGTCAACATCGCATGGCTTTGTTGATTTAGTTGAGCTGTGATTTTGTTTATTGTGATTAGAGTGGTAATGAGTTGAATTTGATTGTCTGAGGTTTTTTATGCACATTATACGTTCGTTCGTGAGATTAGTGGTTAGTTCTGTATTTTGTGTTTTTCGAAATTGCAAAAAATTTTAGACGGGAGAGCTTGAACGGACCAGTCTACGCCATTTTGGTTAAAAAGCCCGGTTGGGTTGTTGTATTATCTAGAATTATATTAAAATGGCTAAATGGAAGGCGAGGTAACATTGAGGCAAGACATTATGGAAATATGAGTTTTTGAAAGGATTCACAGTGATGTGAAAGTCAATGCCTCTCAGTCAATATCTTCTTGTGATGGAATGTCATCTTAATGGAGGTGGAAAAAATTCATGAATAAGTTTTATTAGTAAAATTGTATTGAAAACTGATCAAGTCCAGACTAGGCTTACTATTAAGGGGACTCCAAACTTAAAGTTCATGAGGTGAGGAAACCAGTTGGGTTTGTTGACTATTATTTGTCAAATCCAAACACACGGTTCAATTTGTACCATTATTCTTGTTCCTTATGCAGTCGATGAATACTTTGATTTGTTTGTGGACCCGACTGTCAATAATAACTATGGGAATGTCCTTTTTGCAAACAAGGCTACACTTTTATTTGTTAATAACTGGGCGTACACTTTGTTTAAACAATTTGCTGCTTTCTTTAAACCATGGATTGTGGATGGTGACTGATGGAACCAATTCACACGCAGCAAAATTAAACAAATTAAACAGTAAGCTGATTGGAGAAAAATTAACGCTGAATTGTATTGAAATAGTCCAACAACTGGAGACACATTACAAGAGAAAAATAACAAAATTAACTGGACACTACTGACATGGCTAACATAGCCCGACTCCCCTTCAAGAGGACTTCTCAGTCCCTCTTTTCCACCTTACACCTAATTACCCAAATTTTGCCTGTCTTCTCCCTATACCCATTCACCTCTTATACTAATCCCCTATCTTCTCTCTCCTGTAACAACCAAAACCATGCCATACCCCACGTTCATTCCACCCACAATCCGTTATGCTGATTGTTGCATGCTATGGTGTTTGTTGCTTCTCCCCATTTTGTCCTTGGGCCTTTGTTATGCGTATGTACACATTTGGGTCCACCTCCTCTTTATTCTCTGGAACTTTCTCTGGATCTGCCCCATTAAGGCCAGGATCTTCCCCATTAAGACCATTCCTCTTCTTCCTCCTTGTATATACCTTTGTGAAGGGTCCACCGGTGACTAATTTTGTTATTAATCTGGTCATTAGGCACACAGGTTGTCAATAAGCTGCAGTCTGATAGCAAGTATAAAAGAGGAGGTTGGATAACATAATTGCCAAGTACAGGATTAGGGAAATTTGTCCTTGGGAAAATGAGAGAGGAGAAAAGAAATGATGCGATTTGGCAAGGCAAATGCTCTGGTACAGTGTATGTTAGCCTTTTTTGTAAAATTAAATATTAAATTCTGCTTATTTGTGCTTGGATTTTTAAATATTTTTTGGTCCATTTGGTTATATATAGACTCTTTTATAAATAATTGTTTATTTCTTGCAGCTACATTGGAGGAAGTGAATCTGATGGACATTTTTCTCTGATAAATGAGGCAAAGCAACTTTATCTTTCTTCGTGCTGAGGGTATTTTGGTCTGCACATCGTTGCTTTTCTTGCCATTTAGCTGGTTAACTATAGAATACCACCATCAACTTGTCTTTCAGAACAGTGACTTGTACTTGCATTTTACAAGCATTTCTCAATAGCTATGCAAATACAACAGCCGGACAAATATTTCAAAACTCTCTACCAAACGTGGACGTCACACTTTGCCAAAGTCAAATGCATAGGTAAATATTTGAAAATCTTGAACCAAACGCCACCTAAGTTCTTGAAATCCAATTAATGGTTCAACAAAATCTCTTACTGTGTTTCTGCTGCAACAAGGAAATGATTGTCTGTATTTGATTATACCAATTTCAGTATCCACTTGAAAAGATCGTTTCATGTGCAAGCATTACCCAAGGTATAACCAAATACATAATTAGCAAACAATCCTTTCCTTGTTGCAGCAGAAACATTAAGAAATTATAATGAATCAGTTGAAAGATATGCATTTAGAGATAAAAGAGAGAAAAAAGAGAAGAAGAAAGAAAGAAAAATTCTCCGGTGAATCTCACAATTAAGAGTTTGTTGGAACAAATTTAGGGGAATGTTGGTGACATCTAATACTTTATATCTAATGTCATTTTATGATTTGGAGGTTTCTAGAGCAGTAGAATTTTTTTTCCCATTTGGTGCATTGGGAGTGACTTTCCTCCTTATTTTTACTCTTGATTAATTCTATGATCTTTTTGGATGATATTATTTGATTCCTCTATTGTGACGCATATGAAGAGAGTATTGTGAACTAATACCCATTATAGTTATTTAGTGGTAGTGAAATCCAATAAAGATCGCTTGGTTTTTATTTTTCACCCACATTGTATTTTCTACGTTAAAAGGCTTATGTGAAATGTTAATTATTTTTACCGTTATTCTTAATTTATTTTTCGAATTATTTACTTCAATTTAAACTTGATCTATTTATTTGGAAGACAATTTCATGCGCAAGCAATGCTGATAGTATCACCCAACGCGTAACTCGCAAACAATCCTAACTCGTAAACAATCCTTTCCTTGTTGCAGCAGAAATGTGAAAGAAATTATAACGAACCAGTTGAAAGATCTGCCGCACCTGCACGCTAAAGTTAGAATATTTGAGAAATTCCAAAACACAGATTAAAGCTCCCTCCTGGTCCTCACCACAATATATACTAGAATTGCCTGCTTCAATAGTACGTGGAGATGAAAACTGAAAATCCAATATTGTCTATCAGACCCATGGAAGGTGTTGCTTCTCTTCAATCTTTGTTTTATCTGTTTCTCCAATTAAATATAATTAAATAATGACAACTCAGCAAAATTTGTTGGTCTGTTTAATTTAGGAAGAAAAGCTCCACCAAGTCATTACTCATTCAAAATCAAGTCCTTCTCATTGCTTTCAGAGTCCTCAGTAGAAAAATGTGTCTCGGAAGAGTTTGAAGCGGGGGGTCACAGATGGTATGCATGCTTTTTTCCCCTTCCAACGAACCCTCCCCTTTTGCTTATATACGAGTTGAACCTAGCTTACCTTCAGAACTAGTTCACAATAATGATAATATATATTATTAGTTTTGCTTTAAACTTAGGACTACCCATAAATACCCTTTTTCATCTTATGTATATATTCAATGTGATGCTCAATGGATTTGAATGCAGGAGCCTGTCCATATACCCAACTGGGAACTTAAAAGAAGATGGTCAGGATCATGTTTCTATTTATTTGGTGCTTATGAATCCAAGTTCTTCACCTCTTGATTGGGAGGTCAACGCCATTGTAAATTTTTCTGTGTATAATTTTCTCACCGATGAGTATGTTGCCACTCAAGGTAGAATTGGAGTTCTGTACTTATCTTCATTTTACATTTGTAGCTAACTAGTAAGGTTCATCAATTTCTTTGTCATTGCATTCCATTCTTTTCTTTTCTTCTTATTTATCCGGGTCATGATTACTTGATTAGTCCATTTTAACATGTTATGACCGAACATGTAAAACTTCTTTTCTATGTCACTTTCAAAAATATTGGAAATGTATGATTAAATTTTGAATATCTTATCATATAATGCATGCAGATGCAACTGTAAGGCGTTTCCATGTCTTGAAAACTGAGTGTGGTATCCAAAAGTTCGTTGACATTGACAAATTTAAGGACCCTTCAAATGGATATCTGATTGACGATACATGTGTGTTTGGTGTTGAGGTTTTCGTTGTCAAGACCATAAATAAAGGCGATTGCTTATCAATGATACAAGGACCTGTCACTTATTCTTATATCTGGAAATTTAACAACTTTTCAACCGCTAGTTCAGATATGTATGAGTCTGAATCGTTTGTTCGGGGAAACTACAAATGGTATATTTAAGTACTCACTAATTATTCAATTGCTTCTTACTCAATACCAGCTTCTTGTTAATGGACAAATTAGTGCTTAAAGATATACACGATATTGTTACAAAAAAAAAAAAAAAGTAAAACTCTTTTTGGGTCCCTGACAAAAATTAGGGTCCCAAATTTCGTCCCTTATAAAAAAAAAATGCATATTAGTCCTTTTTTAAGGATTATATTGAGTCTTCAATGAATTTCTGAAGGACTACATTTTCAAAGAAGGAAAATTGTAAAGGGACCAAAGTTGACTCTTTTTATAAGGGATTAAAATGGGGACCTTATTTTTTGTTTGGGACCCAAAATGAGCTTTACTCAAAAAAAAGGAAGAAGAAAGATATACCCTATTTTTTTATTTTTTTATTTTTTATTTTGAAGTTTTCTTTAAGAAATTGTATTCTCTTAGTTTAAAACAATAATACATTTAAGTATCAAATGCTTTTTTTTAAACGATATGCTTCTTTATAATTTATATTAATTATCAATTAAAGAACACTAAGTTGATGTCTACTATTGATTAAATTGAATTTTTTTTATAAATTTAACAGTATCAAATTAATATCTTGTGTATCTTTAAAGACTAATTTTAATATTTGTTCTATCTTGGTATGTTCTTATTGCAAAATGTAAAAGCAGAATATCATTGTTTATTGGCTAATCTGTTTTTATTTTTTATTTTACTTTTATTTTACCAGGAAGCTCCGATTTTATCCCAATGGAAACGGTATGGGCAAGGGCAATAGTATCTCATTATTTTTAGCTGTGGAGGTCTTGACTCTCCCACCCAACACTAAACTACTTGTGGATTACACTCTGCGCGCAAAAGACCAAATGATAGGTGGGCAGCATGTTCAACGAAAAGGTGATGCCATGTTTGCTTTTACAAATTAATTACTACCTCAAATATTCCAACAATACACATTGTTCTTCACTCTTGTTGAAATAGAATTATCCCATAACAAAAATATTATTTTCTTTTTCTTTTTCTTGTCCTAGACCAGTTGATGTTAACTTGGACTTATTTCTCTTGTAGCCTGTCGTAAGTTCTCCAATCCGAGTTCAACATGGGGGTACAAACTGCTTGTGGCCTTGGCAAAATTTAAAAACCCAAATAGAGGTTTCTTGGTGAACGATAGCTGCATCCTTGAAGCTGAATTTAAAGTTCTTGGCCTAACTACGCTCGGAATTGATTAAGATGATTATACATGCATGTGTTATGGAATATTGTTATTATAATTATTATTTTAGGTACTTTGTTGTTATCTTTATAAATCTTTAAGTATTAAGACATTAATATTATCTACATAATGTAGCTTATGCATCTATCTATATTACAAATAAAAGAAACAGAGCTTATGCATCTAGCTGCAAACCAATATAAAAAAGAGGGTAATTGATTTTGTATGAGCAAGTGCCTAACTATTAAGCGGGACCATCGCGGACCATTTCACGCTTCGCAGCCGGTTAATTAACATTCATATAATAATAAGCACAATATATTTTATAAATTAAATGCGGAAATTAATTGGTCAACTTTTTCTTATGTATTACAATTTTCATCGCTTCTTTGATCAAAATAATCTTAGAAGAAAAAATATTGTTTCTGTCTGTAAAAATTCTATTTGAAAATAAAAAATAGAAATTGACGCATTTTTCGTCTTCTTAGCTATGGGATAGTTTGGCGGTCACAAATTCTTCTTTGAGCTTAGCAAAAAATTTCTTTTTCTGGCTAGTATGAGCTCTTTTCAATTAAATATTACCACGGAAAAAATTGCTTTTCCATCGTCTTAATAAAAACAAGCACTTTATCTTAATAAGTTTGATTTATTTTTATTGTGATCAGTATAGTTCATCTTATCTTATTAACAGTATCAGTTGTCTTATTTCAAAAGGTTCATTTTTTATACAATGAATCCAGATAAATTAATTCCATTGCACCCAGAACGGGTGAAAATCAAGGTATTTTTGTATTTATAATTTAAATAATTTTTATTGTTATAATTTTTTAAACTTTTAACCCAAAACGATATCGTTTTGGAAGTGAATGCATATAACTTAACATTCACGGTAAAAACATTAAAACTTATTTCAAAATATGTTATTAGGCAGTTTACTTTATGGGCTTGTCGACGCTCATGCAACATGAGTGGGAAATCTCCCTCTACAGAAAATAATGGTGGTGCCTACCAATAAAAAGAAGAAGGGAAAACATCATTTTTACTCATTGTGGTTTTGTAATTTATCATTTGACTCCCATATAATTTATAAAACTCTCTTGCTTAAATAATTTATTATTTAACTCCATGTGGTTTCAAATTTTCACTTAAACCCCCTTGTAGTTACAAAAATAAAAAAATTTAAAATAATTTTTCCCTCTTTATTTTATATCATCACCTAATGCATTTAGGGTTTAAAAAATTAAAAAACTAAAAATTCATTTATTTCAAGAAAATAAATTCAAACCAAATATTATTTTATTTTATCTATTTTTACCCGATATCGTTACAAAATTATCTAAAAAAAGTTTTATTTTTATAATACATATTTAATTTATCTTAAATAATATTTTTTTATTTTCAAATATATTTTTAAAATAAGTAAAAAATTTAAGATAATTTATAAATTAATTTCAGAATAAATAACTTGAAATATTTTTTAAACTCTAAATGCATTAAATGAGGATATAAAATAAAAAAGAGAGAGAATATTTTAAATATTTTATTTTTAAAACCACATGAGGTTTAAGTGAAATTTTTTGTAATTACAAAGAGTCTAAGTGAAAATTCAAAATCACAGAGAATTAAATGATAAATTATATCAACACAAAGAGTATAAATGATAAGTTTAAAATCAGAGGGAATCAAATGATAAATGACAAAATCATAATTGGTGAAAATCAAGTTTTTCCAAAAAAAAAAAAAAAAACTAAGCGGTTGCACGATTATAATGGTCAATAGGAGGGAAAGATCGGGGTCTATTTAATTGTATTTTGATTTTTTTCTCTTAAAATTATTTTGTAGAATAGTTATGGAAACATAGGCCCTCTTTGATTCCTATTCTCAAAAACATTTAAAAAAAATTTAAAAGTAAAAAGTAAAAAAATTTGTTTGGAAATGATTGTTATGCAAAATGATTTTTTTGCAATAACGATTGTTTTTTGGGAAAATTATTTGTCATTTTAAGAGAGAGATAGACACACGATAATTTTTTATTTAAAATTTAATAAATTAAAAAAACCGCTCACTTTCTCCTCCATGATTTTCATTTTTTTGGTCTATTTCTCTCTTAAAATGACATAACTTATGTCATTTAAAATGACAAACATCAAACCTCTTTTTTTTTTTTTTTAGTTTTAAAAACTGAAAAAACCAAAACAACCTGCACTTCATGTTATCCAAAGCAGTTTTTTTTTTTTTTTTTTTTTTTCGCGATGGCATTTTTGTAATTCTAAAACTTCTTTAATGACATTTTTACAAATAACTACAACTTCTTTATAATACTCAAACAAAGTTATTTTGGTTTTTTACTCACAAAATCAGTTGTTAAAATTCATATTCAAAACAGTTTTTGAAAACAAATAAAAAACAAAAACTATTTACTTCAAGAGGAATGTTACTTTAGTATCATTTTAGCCATTTTACTCCTGTTACCTGATTAGTTACACTTGGATCAATTTAACTATTTATTTCAAATTAATCTAATGTTAAACAATCATGTAGTAAGAATGTAAGAATAATAAGTCTAAAATGGTACCGCTCCCTTGTTTCAATAACTATTTATTTTGCGGAACAATTTCATGAGCAAGCAATGCTTATAATATAACCAAATGCATAACTCGCAATCAATCCTTTCCTTGTTGCAGCAGAAATGTGAAAGCAATTTTTCATGTTCAATTTGAAATTGATCTATATATTTATTTGGCGGAAGAACAATTTCATGTGCAAGCAATGCTGATAGTATCACCAGTTACATAACTCGCAAGCAGTGCTGATAGTATCACCAAATACATAACTCGCAAGCAATGCTTATTTATAGTATCACCAATTACATAACTCGCAAACAATCCTTTCCTTGTTGCAGCAGAAATGTGAAAGAAATTATAACGAACTTAAAGTTAGAATATTAGAGAAATTCCGAAATACAAATTAAAGCTCCCTCCTGGTACTCACCACAATATATACTAGAATTGCCTGCTTCAATCGTGGAGATGAAAACTGAAAATCCAATATTTTCTATCAGACCCATGGAAGGTGTTGCTTCTCTTCAATCGTTGTTTTATCTGTTTCTCCAATTAAATATAATTAAATAATGACAACTCAGCAAATTTTCTGGTCTGTTTAATTTAGGAAGAAAAGCTCCACCAAGTCATTACTCATTCAAAATCGAGTCCTTCTCATTGCTTTCCGAGTCCTCAGTAGAAAAAGTTGTCTCGGAAGAGTTTGAAGCAGGGGGTCACAAATGGTATGCATGCTTTTTTCCCCTTCAAATGAACCCTCCCCTTTTGCTTATATACGAGTGTTGAACCTAGCTTACTTTCAGAACTAGTTCACAATAATGATAATATATATTATTTTGTCTTGCTTTAAACTTAGGACTATGTATACCTTTTTTCATCTTATGTATATATTCAATGTGATGCTCAATGGATGTGAATATTGCAGGAGCCTGTCGATATACCCAACTGGGAACTTAAAAGAAGATGGGCAGGATCATGTTTCTATTTATTTGGTGCTTATGAATACATGTTGTTCACCTCTCGATTGGGAGGTCAACGCCATTGTAAATTTTTCTGTGTATAATTTTCTCAACGATGAGTATGTTGCCACTCAAGGTAGAATTGGAGTTCAGTACTTATCATCATTTTTCATTCGTAGCTAACTAGTAAGGTTCATCAATTCCTTTGTCATTGCATTCCATTCTTTTCTTTTCTTCTTATTCATTAATCCATTTTCACTTGTTATGACCGAACAAGTGAAACTTGTTTTTATGTCACTTTCAAAAATAGTGGAAATGTATGATTAAATTTTTAATATCTTATCATTTATTACATATTTGAAAATTGAAATGCATGCAGATACAACTGTAAGGCGTTTCCATGTCCTGAAAACTGGGCGGGGTATCTCAAAATTCATTGGCCTTGACACATTTAAGGACCCTTCAAATGGATATCTGATTGACGATACTTGTGTGTTTGGAGTTGAGGTTTTCGTTGTCAAGACCATGAATAAAGGCGATTGCTTATCAATGATTCATGGATCTGTCACTCATTCATATAGTTGGAAATTTAACAACTTTTCAATCGTTAATTTAGAAGAGTACGAGTCTGTATCGTTTGTCGGTGGAGACTACAAATGGTATATCTATATAAATACATACAAACTTATATATGCTTCTAACTTTTCTAAAGAATGTTCGAATTAATACATTGAAATTAGGATGAATTGATGCTTGTTTAAATGTTAATTTAATAGTTTATATTATCTTTACAACACCCCAAACGCAAGAGGCCCAATTTTTGGTTCAGGGTGGGTGTTTTTTTACTGATTTATATTATTCTCTAATAAAGGATTAGATAAATGCACAAAATCTTTTTGGCTCATGTTCTTAATGCATATTGTTTTTTTTGTGTGGCTAATTTGCCATTATTATTTTTCAGGAAGCTTAATTTATATCCTAATGGACACATGGAGGGCAAAGGTAATAGTATCTCATTATTTTTAGCTGTGGAGGTCTCGACTCTCCCCCCAGACACTAAACTACTTGTGGATTACATTGTGCGCGCAAAAGACCAAATCAGTGGACAACATGTTCAACGAAAATGTGAGGCCATGTTTGCTTTTACAAGTTCAAATATTCCAACGATACACATTATTCTTCACTCTTGTAGAAATAGAATTATCCCAAAACAAAAATGTTATTTTTTCTTTTTCTTGACCTTGCTATTCAGTTATAGCTTTGTTGAATGTTATCCTAAACTATTGATTTTAACTTGGACTTATTTCTCTTGTAGCCTGTCAAAAGTTCTCCAATTCGAGTTCAGCATGGGGGTCCAGACAGCTTGTGGCCTTGGCAAAATTTAAAGACCCAAATAATGGTTTCTTGGTGGACGATACTTGCATCCTTGAAGCTGAATTTAAAGTTCTTGGCCTAATTACGCCTGGAATTAACTAAGATGGTTATACATGCATGTGTTATGAAATATTGTTATTACAATTATTATTTTAGGTACTTTATTGTTATTTTTATAAATCGTGAACTATTAAGACATTAATATTACCCCCATAAAGGAGTTTATGCATCAATCTATATTTCAAAGAAAAGAAATAGAGCTTATGCATCTAGCTGCAAGCCAAACAATATAAAAAAGAGCGCAATTGATTTTGAATGAGCACGTTCCTAACTATTAAACCGGAACAATGGCAGACCAAAAACTTTTACAGGAATGAAAATAAATATTAAAATTACATATAAGCTCAATAGGTTTGGTTCAATATCAATAGCCCACATCTATAACCTTTTAGACTAACAGTGACCCAAGTGACCCATTTGTCACCTTTTTTTTTAAAAAAAGATTGCCTAAATGCCACACAAATTTCGAGCGGCAGTGGGGGTCTTGGGCAGAAAGATTTTCTCAAAAAAAAAAAATCTGAACCAATGGTGGCACAAATTGCACCAGCTACTGAATTTGTGCGCACAAATTGCGTGAACTTACATGAACTTCCATTTAGTGGCGCAAAATACGCGAGAATCGCGCTCGAGCGCCATCGCTAAATGGATTTTTCACGCAGTAAGTGCCAAATTGGTGCTCCTTCAACAAATGGACAGAAACTTCAAGTTATTGGCACATTGAGTCTCGTGAACTGAAACCCTACACCAAAATTTTCCATCTTTTAATCAAAATTAAAATTTAACCTAATATAATAAAACAAAATAATAATAATAATAATAAATAAAATAAAATAAAAGATTCGAAATAGAAAAATTTAATGGGTTGCCTCCCAATTATCGCTTATTTAACGTCACGAGAGCCTGATGTATCCCTTATGATTATGGTGGTTGGAAGCATGCTACCATTGATGAATCAGTCTTCTTGATCCAATATTGTGTCCTTCCATAATAATCCTGCGTAGATGGATGAGAAGAAGTGGCCTCGGGAGCTCTAAATTTAGTCTTCACATGCTTTTCCTTGCTCCTGGGTTTTTCCATCTTAACTTTTTGCTTGCATTCCTCATACTCCTGATGGATTTTCTTCTTATTTCCTTCCTCAACCTTCTTTTCAACAATGCAGTAAACTTGACCTTCAGGTTTCCTGGTCAATTTAACTAGCTCTTCTTTCCGTGCATTTGAAACTCCAGTTGAATCGATGACTTTAACTACCTCAGTTAGTTGATCATCATTCAGTAGCTCTGAGGAGTGCAAACTGATGTTCAATTGTGGGCGGATTTGCTTCTTCAAGGATCTTTTGTGAAACTGCTTCTTCTATTTCATCGATATGAAAACAGTCTTCTTTATCTTCAAGATGCTTCATGGCCTCAAAAACATTCATCTTGAATTCACCACCATTAACTCTAAAGATCGTTTGTCCTTGCTCCACATCAATCAATGTCCTAGCAGTTGCTAAGAATGGTAGCCCCAAGATAAGAGGCATATTGTCATCTTCCTCCATATTAAGCACAACAAAATTAGCTGGAAATATATAATCATTTACCTTTACATGGACATCTTCTAGCACTCCTTCTAGCATCTTGATGGATCGATCAACAAACTGGAGAGACATCATGGTAGATTTCCTCTCCGTAATCCCCAAAGATTGTTCAAAAGAAAGAGGCATCAAGTTGACACTGGCTCCCAGATCACATAAAGCTTTTCCTATTTTAACATTCCCGATCGTAGAAGGGATACTAAATCTCCCTAGGTCTTTGACTTTAGATGGCAACCCCTTTTGATCACAACAGTACTCTCTTCAGTTAAAGCTAATGTTTCCATCTTTATGAGCTTATGTCTATTTGACAATAGACCCTTCATGAATTTTGCATAGAGAGACATGTTCTCCAAAGCTTCAGAGAATGAAATGTTAATTTGCAGCTTTTTAAACATCTCCATAAACTTCGAGTATTGCTGCTTCTCTTTATCTTGCTTTTGCCGAAGAGGATATGGAGCTTTTGCATAAAGATCTGGTTGACTGAATCCTGATGAAAGTTTCTTTGCAGTTCTCTTATTACGATTGATTGCTCCTCCAATGTAGGTTACATCATCATAATTAGGAGCCTTTTCTTTCCTAGTATTCTCCTCTTTTGTCTCTTCCTCTTTTGTTTTCTCCTCCATTGGTGCTTTCTTGTCTACCTTGGTTGGCTTATCATGAGGTTCAATCACCTTCCCACTCCAAGTAGTGATTGCATTATAATGCTCTCTTGGATTAATCACAGTGTCACTAGGCATTGTCCCTAGAGCTCTTTCTCTCAAGTTCTTGGCCAACTGCCCAATCTGAGTTTCAAGATTTCGGATTGAAGCCTCCTAATTCTTGTTCGATGCTTCTTAAGTCTTGAAGTTTAATCTTGTCTCTTGAATGAAAGCATTGGTAGTTGAAGCCATGGTTTCCACCAGTTTCTCTAAAGTTGAATATAAGTTATATGGAACAGGATGTTGTGGTTGTTGTGGTTATGGATTGTAAGAGAGACCTGAGTTATTGCTCCAACTCGTGTTGTTATTACCTTGGTAGTTGTTCCTTTATGGGTTCCCCATATAGTTGACTTCTGAAGGTTGAGCTAGTGGGTAACTTGCAATCAAGTGTCCTTCAGCACACATGTCACACATTACTGTTTCCTTAGCATTGATGGCAGAGATTTGATTCTTAGTAATTATCTTTGTGAGAGATTCCATCTGTTTCTGCAAACTCTGTCGACCAGTCATCAAGATGTCGAGTCTATCCACTTGAAGAATGCCTTTTTTTGAGCTAGGTACATAATCATCCTCTCAGCAGCTAATTCTTCAATGAGTTGTAGAGATGCAGCTGGAGCTTTGTTAACTAATGATCCATTACAACCGTATTCATAAATTGTCTATCAGCAGGGCATATACCATGGTAGAAGAGCCTCACTTTATCTCCTGCTTGAAGAGCATATTGTGGGTAAGCTATCAACAAGCCTTTGAATATCCTCTAGGCTGTGCCAAAAGATTCATCATCATGTTGAGAGAAATGATCAATTTCTCGCTTCTTCAGCATGAATTTAGAAAGAGTAAAGAACTTCTTTCTAAATTTAAACACCAAGTCATCCCATGAAGTGATGCTCCCTTCAGGTTCATTCCTCAACCATTCCTTTGCTCTTCCTTTCAATGTAAAAGGAAAAAGTATCAGACAAATGACATCAGTGTTAACTTCATTATGATTGTGAAGTCGACATAGTTCCAAAAATCCCGACATATGAAGATTGGGATCATAGTCGTCGTCCTCTGAAAATTTATTGTTCTGGAACAGCTACAAGAAGGCCAGATGAACTTCAAAGTTATTGGCCTGGATTGCTGGAATGACGATTGCAAAAGAGACATGTGCAAATGATGGGTTGAGGAATTGCTTTATGTATCCTCATGTGATATTTCTTCAGCCATAGTTGATGTTTCTCCTTGGAAGAGTGAACAGATCGCTCTTTCTTTTTCTTTTCGCTCCTTAGTGAGCTTTCTGTTCTCCTTTGCTATCTTTTCAATTTCCAGTTCGTAGAGCAAATCTTCTGGATCAACTGTACCTCGCATAAACTAGAAATAAAAAAATCAATAAGAGTGAAAAATTAAAAAATACAATAAAAAAAATATTAAAATAAAAATAAAAATAAAGGTCTAATCTTAAACTCCACAGATACTACTATTGTTGATTTTCAGTCCCTGACAACGGCGCCAAAAAATTGTTGAGAATACGGAAAGTGTATCGGTCATACAAGTAATAAAGTGATTAAGTAAAAGTATCGTTCCCACAAGGAATAAATTCAAGCAATATTTTCACCATTTTTATCTAAGTTAGACAATTCAAAAGTAATTTCGCAAGTAACCAATATTGAATTAAAAATTAAATAAAGATGATAGTAAGAGAAATTAATTAAAAATATGAACTTGAAATTATGAATAAAAATGCGGTTAGGTTTACTTCACCTCTGAACCCCCTTAATTGGTTTAATTACAATTCAATTATATTCTATCTCAATTATTTCAAATAATTTATCATTTAAAAATTAATTGGTTAAATTCTAATGTCTTAGAAATCCCTTTTAGATTAAGCCTTAAACGCGATGAATTTTAAAAGTTTGCAATTCCTATAAATTTATGTCTAGATCATACAAGAATTGGTGTTCTACCCCTGTCTAGATCAATATACCTATATGTCTATTGAGAACCCTAACCCTCTTTATCCCTATATAATTGGCCAGATCATACAAGAATTTAAACATGCAAATCAAGGTAAACACAAAGAATTTAAGACAGTTTATTAATGAAAAGAATTAAACCAAAACAAGGATTCACGTCGGATCCATATTCCTAGATCCTAACTACAAAAGAAACTTAGCCAGACATAGCTGGCTTAAACAAAACAAAGAATGAAAAAGAAAATAGAAAAAGTCATAAAGAAGAAGAAGAAGAATAAATGTTGCTCAATCTCTTTCAAGCTTCTCTCTCTCTGAAAATCTCCGTCTCTCACTCTTGCCTCCTTCTCTCTCTATTGCATAATGTGTCAGCCTCTTTTCTGTTTTCAAAAGTTGCCTTTTTACTGTGATGAAGCCATATCTTTTAATTTCTCATAATATCTTCAATGGAATCTTCACTAAAATCTCAAATCATATCTTTAATCAAATCCTTAAAATCTTTCCTTTTATATTTAAAGAAAAACTTTCCTTAAAAATATTCAAGGGAAAATTCAATAAGATATTCAATGAATTATATGATTCAGAAATATAAAGCAAATCCACTTGAGCTCTCCAATTTATCTTTTTATTTAGCTTAAAATTACTGCAAAATATACGAATTTTTATGAGAACATTAATGAGAATAAAATAACAATTTAATTACAATTCTCATATCTTTCCATTATTTTTAAATCAATTTCATACTCATATTAACTCTTAATACATAATAAATTGGAGACTCATCAGAGCACAACTTGCAAACACTGTTGGGACTGAGGCGAACCAATCACGAAACGACCAAATAAGAAAAAAAATCAAATCCTAATTTTAGAAAAACAACTTCAAATAACATATTGTTCCACTGAACAACTTTAAGAACAAAAACCAACTTGAGAAAATAACACACAACATTCCACTAAACAGTTGAGAAAAAATCTCACTATTCCACCTGACAAGCATAAAAAATAAAAGGGAACACTTTTGTTGTTCTCTCTCTTTCCCAGCAAATTTGAGAAGAAGAAAAAAAGGGAGTAAAGAGAGAAGAAAAAAAAAAGAGATTGTTAAAAGATGTGCATTTAGAGATTAAGAGCCCGTTTGGATGAGTTTTTTTTTATTCAAAAGCTGCTTTTTTTAAAGTCCTTTTCGAAAAAAGTCTATTCGGATGCCTGCTTTTAAAAAAAAACAGAAGTCATAAAAAAGCCAAAAATTTACCATTTTCAAAAGCTAAAAATTTTAACTTTTAAAAAAAGCAGAAGTCAAAAGCTAAATATTTTTTTCAAAAAACAAATATATTTTTAAAAATCTAAATAGCTGTAACTTTTATAGAAAGTACTTTTAAAATAAGGAAGTGATAAAAAGGACTTTATTAAAAAGTCCATACAAACGCAGCCTAAAGAGGAGAAGGAAAAACAAATTCCTAATCCCAAGTGAGAGTTTGTTGGAACGAATTTAGGGGAGTGTTCGTGACATTTAATACTTTATATCCAATAGTTATTTTGTGATTTAGAGGCCTATAGAGCAATAGAATTATTTTTCTCATTTAATGCATTGTCAATGACTTTCCTCCTTACTTTAACTCTAGATTTCTATCTTTTTAGATGATATTATTTGATTCATCTATTATTATATGGGAAGAGAGTATTGTGAATGTGTACCCATTATAGTTATTAAGTGATAGTGTCACGGTTTGTTACATCTATTATTTTATTATTATTTTTTAAATTGTTTGGTTGTTTAAGTAAAGAGTAGTTTTTTTTTTTTGTTACTTCTATGGTCGACTTGTATTTATTTAAACCCTAAAATATTGGAATAAAGATCATCAATAAGATAAAAAAACATTTTGTGCACAGGTTTGTGTGCTCGAGACATGAGATATCCAAGGAAAAATTCAGTTCTAAAATACTTTGGGAATATGAAAGAAATGGTTATTAGTGGAGTCTATTTTTATAGTTGACTTATAATATCTATTTGAAGTTTAAAATATTGGAATAAAGCTCATCAATAAGAATAAATATTTTGTGCGTGCTTGAGGAGGGATTTCTTCATTTGAACTCAAATTCTTTATTTTCTTCCATAATAGGTGTACGTAACAGTTTTCTACATTAAAAATCGTATGTGCTAATTATTTTTGCATCTATTCTTGATTTATTTACTTCAACTTCAACTTCAACTTGAACTTGAACTATTTATTTTGCAGAACAATTTCATGTGCAAGCAATGCTGATAGTATAACCAAATACATAACTCGCAATCAATCCTTTCCTTGTTGCAGCAGAAATGTGAAAGCAATTTCATGTTCAATTTGAAATTGATCTATTTATTTGGCGGAACAATTTCATGTGCAAGCAATTAATGCTGATAGTATAACCAAATACATAACTCGCAAACAATCCTTTCCTTGTTGCAGCAGAAATGTGAAAGAAATTATAACGAACCATTTGAAAGATCTGCCGCACCTGCACGCTAAAGTTAGAATATTTGAGAAATTCCAAAATACAAATTAAAGCTCGATCCCTGGTACTCACTACTCACCACAATATATACTAGAATTGCCTGCTTCAATCGTACGTGGAGATGAAAACTGAAAATCCAATATTGTCTATCAGACCCATGAAAGGTGTTGCTTCTCTTCAATCATTATTTTATCTGTTTCTCCAATTAAATATAATTAAATAATGACAACTCAGCAAATTTGCTGGTCTGTTTAATTTAGGAAGAAAAGCTCCACCAAGTTACTCATTCAAAATCAAGTCCTTCTCATTGCTTTCAGAGTCCTCAGTAGAAAAATGTGTCTCGGAAGAGTTTGAAGCAGGGGGTCACAAATGGTATGCATGCTTTTTCCCCCTTCAAATGAACCCTCCTCCCCTTTTGCATATATACGAGTTGAACCTAGCTTACCTTCAGAACTATAGTTCACAATAATGATAATATATGTTATTAATCTTGCTTTAAACTTAGGACTACCCATATATACCCCTTTTCATCTTATGTATATATTCAATGTGATGTTCAATGGATGTGAATGCAGGAGCCTGTCCATATACCCAACTGGGAACTTAAAAGAAGATGGGCAAGATCATGTTTCTATTTATTTGGTGCTTATGAATCCAAGTTCTTCACCTCTTGATTGGGAGGTCAACGCCAATGTAAATTTTTCTGTGTATAATTTTCTCAACGATGAGTTTGTTGCCACTCAAGGTAGAATTGGAGTTCAGTACTTATCATCATTTTACATTTGTAGCTAACTAGTTAGGTACTTCAATTTCTTTGTCATTTCATTCCATTCTTTTCTTTTCTTCTTTTGTATCGGGGTCATGATTACTTGATTAATCCATTTTAACTTATGACCGAACATGTAAAACTTCTTTTCTATGCCACTTTCAAAAATATTGGAATGTATGATTAAATTTTGAATATCTTATCATATATTACATATTTGTAAATTGAAATGCATGCAGATACAACAATAAGGCGTTTCCATGTCCTGAAAACTGAGTGTGGTATCCAAAAATTCGTTGACATTGACACATTTAAGGACCCTTCAAATGGATATCTGATTGGCGATACCTGTGTGTTTGGTGTTGAGGTTTTCGTTGTCAAGACCATGAATAAAGACGATTGCTTATCAATGATACATGAACCTGTCACTCATTCTTATAGTTGGAAATTTAACAACTTTTCAACCGCTAGTTAATTCAGATATGTACGAGTCTGTATCGTTTGTCGGTGGAGACTAGAAATGGTATATTTATATAAATACATACAAACTTATAGATGCTTCTAACTTCCCTAAAGAATGTTCGAATTAATACATTGAAATTAGAAAAAATTGATGTTTATTTAAACGTTAAAGGATAAAATAAATTTACAAAATCTTTTGAGTAACAATTTGATATCTCTGTGTATCGATTAATTTAATAATTATTCTTTGTTGATATGTTCTTAATGCGTATTTTCTTTTTCTTTTTTTCTTTTTCTTATCCTTGCTCTTGATCAGTTGTAGGCTTGTAGCTTTGTTGAATGATACCCTAAAGTATTGATTTTAACTTGGACTTATTTCTCTTGTAGCCTGTCCTAAGTTCTCCAATTCGAGTTCATCATGGGAGTACAAACAGCTTGTGGCCTTGGCAAAATTTAAAAACTCAAATAGTGGTTTCTTGGTGAACGATAGCTGCATCCTCGAAGCTGAATTTAAAGTTCTTGCCGTAATTGCGTACAAAATTGATTAAGATGATTATACATGCATGTGTTATGAATATTGTTATTATAATTATTATTTTATTTATTGTTATGTTTATAAATCTTTAAGTATTAAGACATTAATATTATCCACATAAAAGAGCTTATGCATCTATCTATATTACAAAGAAAAGATAGAGCTTATGCATGCAAACCAAACAATATAAAAAAGAGCGTAATTGATTTTGTGTGAGCACTTGTCTAACTATTAAGCGGGACCATGGCAGACCAAAACTTTTTACATATTACGAAAATAAATATCAAAATTACAAATAATATTAAAATTAATTATTATAAATATTTTTTAGGAAATGCCCAACTATTAACCTCAGAAAGAGACTATTCTCGGGTGCCGCTCTCCCTTTATCTGGATAGTGCATTCCCAAAGCCAAGTCTTGTAAAATGAGTCAATTGCTTGAAAAATGTGAGCGTCGCTTTGCCTTCTATGCTTGAATGCGTTGGTTAATTAAGATGTTTATTATTACGAGACTAATTTAATTAGCAAGTGAGAGAATGCATGCGTGGGTGGCTAGCGACATCTTCGAAGAATTTATAAGAACCACTCGATCGAAAGATCACTTGCACGCAAAAGTTAGAATCTTTGAGAAAATTGCAAAAGCCAGATTAAAGCTCTCTTAGTTCTTACCACTAAAATTCCTTCATCAATCATGGATTTGATGTCTGTTAGACCCATGAAAGGTGTTGCTTATCGTTTATCATTTTCGTACATATGGATTCAAATCTACTGTCCACTTTATTTTTATTTTTTTATAACGTTGGATCTGATTATCAAATTAAATATAATTTAATTTTGATGACTCTGGCAAATTTACTGGTGTGTTTTAGGAAGAAAAGCTCCACCAAGTCATTACTCACTCAAAATCGAGTCATTCTCATTGCTTTCCAAGGCCTCAATAGATAATTTTGACTCTGAAGAGTTTGAAGCAGGGGGTTACAAATGGTATGCGTGCTTTTTTGCCATCAAATTATCCCTCTCATTTTGCTAACATGCAAGTTTAACCTTACTGACCTTCAGAACTGGTTCCCAGTAATGATAATATTATTAGTCTTGCTTCAAAGTTAGGACTACCCTTATTTTTTTTTCTTCTTCTTATGCATGTCTTAAATGTAATGCTCAATGAATGTGAATGCAGGGCGCTGTCCATATACCCAGGTGTGAACATAGAAGGAGATGGGGAAAATCATGTTTCCATTTATTTGGTGCTTATGGATTCAAATTCGTTACCTCTTGGTTGGGAGGTCAACGCCATTGTAAATTTTTTCGTATATAATTTTCTCAATGACGAGTACGTTACCTCTCAAGGTACAGTTGTAGTTCAGTACTTACAAGCTTATTATTATTTTACATTTCGTAGCAAACTTATAAGATTCATTAATGTCTTTGGTATATTGCATCCCATTTTTATGCTGTACATGTTGTTGACTTCTAAGTTGTATGAATCTTTTTGTTATTTTTGGTCACTTGTTATAACTTATGACTGAACAGGGGTAAAAACATCTTTTCTATTTCACATTCCGAAATAATCGATATTTCTAATTAAATTTTTATTGTTATCTTATATTACATATTTGTTATTTGAAATGCATGCAGATGCAACTGTAAAGCGTTTTTATGTCTTGAAAACTGAGTGGGGTATCCAAAAATTCATTGATCTTGACACATTTAAGGACCCTTCAAATGGATATCTGATTGACGATACCTGTGCGTTTGGAGTTGAGGTTTTTGTTGTCAAGACCATGAACAAAGGCGATTGCTTATCAATGATATCTGAACCTATCACTCATTTTCATAGTTGGAAATTCAACAACTTTTCAACCGCTGGTTCAGACATGTATGAGTCTGAGTCGTTTGTTTGGGGAGACTACAAATGGTATATTTAAGTACTCACTAATTATTCAATTGCTTCTTATTCACTACAAGCTTCTTATTAAGTAATGGACAGATAGTGCTTACAGATATACACGATAATAAGTAGTTTTTTTTTTTTTGAAGATTTTTATAAGAATTGTATTCTCTTTGTTCAATTTAAGTATCAAATGATTTTTTTTAAACGGTTAGGTTCTTTATAATTTATAGTAATGATCAATTAAAGCACACTAAGTTGATGTGTACTATTGATTAAATTGATGTTTTTTTAAAGAAATTTAACAGTATCAAATTAATAGCAAATACCAAATTAATATCTTGTCTCTCTTTAAAGACTAATTTTAATATTTGCTTTATCTTGGTATGTTCTTACTGCAAAATGTAAAAGCAGAATATGATTGTTCATTGGCTAATCTGTTTTTATTATTTGTTTATTTTTTATTTTACCAGGATGCTCGAATTTTATCCCAATGGACTCGATGAGGGAGAGGGCAACAGTATTTCATTATATTTGGTTTTGGATGTATCAACCCTTCCCCCCAACACTACATTAGTAGTGGATTCCACTTTGCGCGCAAAAGACCAACTTGGTGGTAGACATGCTGAAGAAAAATGTGAGGCCATGCTTGCTTTACAAGTTGAACTTTTGTAACAATATACACATTACTGTGGTTTATATATGGGAAATGTAGCTCTAGGAGAAGAGATATTTTATAGCAACAAAAAATAACTATGTCTTATCAAAAAGGCTATTGGCTGATGTGGTGAAGAAAAAAAAAATTTAATATTATAATTATGTCTTATAAGTGAAACGTAATTGTTTTCTATTGCCGCAAAAAAATCTCTTTTTCTTTGAAATGAGAAGTTGGGAACCCTTTATACATAGATATCTGAAATGTCACTAAATTATATATGTTAGTTTACATCGAATCCATTTGTATGTGTGTATATAATCTTCATTGTTTTTGAAATGGGATTATCCTAAAAGTAAAAAAGTTTTTTTTTTGGATGAATAATGTTGCTCATTTATCCTCGCAAAATGCAGTTAGGGACTTTGTGCTGAAGTAAATCTATTTTCTGTCTTTTGCTCTTCATTTGTAGCTTTGGTGATGGGTTACTCTTAAGTATTTGTTTTAACGTCGACTGATTTATCTTGCAGCTTGTGGTAATTATTCCAAATCGATCTCGGATTGGGGGTACCCACAGCTCGTGGCTTTGTCTAAATTTAACGAACCACATTTGGGTTTTTTGGTGGACGATAGCTGCATCCTTGAAGCTGAATTGAAAATTCTTGGCTTAATTAAGCGCCCAATTGATTGATAATTTGATATGGATGTACAAATGTTACGGAACTTCGTTAGATGTTAGATACGTTGTTGTTATCCTTATAAATTTTGATTATAATGAATATTTTCTTTTGATGTTGTTATTGAAGTAAATTTCTTTAATTTTGCACATTCATAATTTGTTTTATATAATTTTTTTTATTTTTTTGTAATAAAAAAGTAAAACGTATGTTAGTTTAAATGGTGGCCAATTTATTAGGAGAGGTATAATATAAAATCATTTATGACCTTTATTTATATGTTTAAGTTTTTGAGTTGAATTAATTGCTAGTATAAGAACTAAGATGCCTCACCACCCCAATTTTTAGCGAAATTAAGTCACAACAAAATATATGGAAGTGTGTTATCCATCACTTATATATTTAAGCTTTTCAGTGAGATAATCACTTTACAAGATTTCATCACGAAATACAAGCAAACACACATGTGCTCACTATTGAGCTAAGAAAGACAGTATTCCCTGTCTCAAAAAAAAAAAGAAAAAAATATTGGCAAGGAAATTTATTACAAAAGTGAACTAGTTTCATATCAGAAGCAAGGAAGAAGAGAGAAAACAGAAAACTAATTCTCATTGATTGGTAAGAAAGAATTACAAAGAATATAGAGAAGACTTAGGCTTCTACTATTTATACACGAAAGTTAACGATAAAGAAATTAACTAACTTGATTCTGTAACTAACTAAACTGTCATAGTAGAAAAACTCTAAGTGACAATTACTACTGGATATTGGACTCACTGTTGGGCTGACTGTTGTTGATCTGTAACACCACCCCCCCCCCCCCCACAAGCTGGGCTGTGTATATCTAGGAGACCAAGCTTGCCCATAAGCTGATTGAAAGATGAGGGATGGAGTGCCTTAGTAAAAATGTCAACTGTCTGAGCAGTAGAAGAAATAGGAAGAAGATGTAATAATCCAGTGGTAATCTTTTCTCTGGTAATATGACAATCTAGTTCAATATGTTTCGATCTCTCATGGAATACAGGATTGTGAGATAAGTAAATAGCAGATCTATTATCACAAAACACTGGTGCTGGTTTTGGTTGTGAAATATGGAGATCCGTGAGAAGATAAGACAACCATTGTAGTTCACAAGTAATGGCTGCCAATGCACGGTATTCTGCTTCAGTGGAAGATCTGGACACTGTTGATTGCTTTTTAGAACGCCATGAGATGAGTGAAGATCCAAGGAAAATACAAAGACCAGTAACGAACCTTCTTGTGTCTGGGCAACAAGCCCAGTCAGCATATGCAAAACCACTATTTTTTAAGTCATTTGAAACAGGAAAGAATAATCCCTTGGCAGGTGAACTCTTCAAATAACGTAGGATGCGATGTTCAGCAGTAAGGTGAATGTCAGTTGGAGCAACAATGAACTGACTTAGTTGTTGTACACTGAAGCTGATGTCGTGTCTGGTATTGGTTAAGTACAATAGTCGACCAATAAGACGACGGTATAGTGAGATATCAGATAAAGGTTCACCTAGCTTGCGGTGAAGTTTCAATGAAGGATCCATCGGAGTTGAAGCTGGTTTTGCTGCTGTTAGCCCAGTATCTGAGAGTAATTCAAGAGTATATTTTCTCTGATTTAAAAGAATACCATATGAGGAACGAGTAACTTCCAATCCCAAGAAAAAATGAAGAGTGCCCAGATCTTTTATTTTGAATCTGCTATCAAGAAAAGCTTTTACTCTCTTAATCTCATTTATATCATTGCCTGTTAAGACAATATCATCGACATAAACAAGAAGATCAGTGAAGAGACAATCAATTTTATTAGTGAACAATGAAAAATCAGCTGAAGATTGAGTGTATCCGATGGAAATTAAGGCAGTAGAGAGTTTGGAATACCATTGTCTACTGGCTTGTTTAAGTCCATATAAGGACTTTTGTAATTTGCAAACTTTTGATGGATCGGAACAAGGAATTCCTGGAGGAATAGCCATGTAAACTTCTTCATTCAATTCTCCATGCAAAAAGGCATAATTGACATCTAATTGTTCTAAATGCCATTTCATGGTTGTAGCAAGAGAGAGAAGTAAGCGTACTGTTGTTAACTTGGCAACTAAACTGAATGTGTCCAGATAATCAAGACCTTCTATTTGTGTGTAGCCTTTAGCTACAAGACGAGCCTTATACCTTTCAATAGATCCATCTGCATGGTATTTAATTTTATACACCCACTTGCATCCAATTGTGCGTTTGCCAGGAGGAAGACTGACAAGAGACCATGTATGGTTGTTTTCAAGAGCAGAATCATTTTGCATTGCTTTCTGCCAACAGTCATGTTCTGAAGCTTGTGCATATGTTTTTGGTTCAGTATGAGAGGAAATGGTTAGACAAAAAAATTTATATGTGGAAAAACCAGATTTATAAGAAAGAACATCAGAAATAGGATAAAGGACATTTTGAGATAAAGTTGAGTTACCTGAACAAGAAGATGATGATTGCTTGAGAGATGTGGTTGACAGATTACAGTGATAATTGTGCAGATAAGAAGGTGGATGTCTATCTCTTTGAGATCGTCGTGGGGTATCTGACTGTTGATCTGGTGAGGGTAATAAAGAATCAGAATAGTTTGGGCTAAGGCCATTTTGTGTTGGGACAGATATGGAGTAATCTGGTGTAAATGTAGGATCAGGATAAATTGGTAAGGAATTTTTTGGTATGGATTCATCAGAATTATGGGAAGAAGGTATATGTTCATCAGTTTTAATTTCAGGTGACTCACTGTTAGGAGCAAAAGGAAAATGTTTTTCATAGAATATGACATTTCTGGATACAAATATTTTTGTTGATTTTATGTCAATCAGGATGTAGCCTTTAATTCCTTCTTGATATCCAAGAAACATAGCCTTGATAGCTCTAGGAGAAAAATTTTGACGGTTAGCTTTGAGGGTAGTGGCATAACATAAGCATCCAAAAACCTTGAGATGCACAAATGTGGGAGGTTCATTGTAAAGTCTTTGGTATGGTGTATCATTGTTAAGTATAGGAGTATAAACTCTGTTTATAATGTGAACAGCTTGAGTAATGGCAAATGACCAAAATTGAAGTGGGATATTGGATTGAAAGGCAATGGCTCGAGCTACATTTAATATGTGTTTATGTTTTCTTTCAACAATACCATTTTGTAGAGGATTTTCTACACAGCTTTTCTGATGTAGAATCCCTTTGTTGCTGTAAAACTCTTGCATTGCAAATTCAGGACCATTGTCACTTCGTATGCATTTCACAGTTGTTTGAAACTGGTTTTTAATGAAATTAATGAATTCTTTAAGTTTGTCACGAGTTTCAGCTTTGGTTTTAAGAAGAATGGTCCAAGTAAACCTATAATAGTCTTCAACAATGGTTAAAAAATATCTATATCGCTGAATTGAAGGCAAAGAATATGGACCCCATATATCAACATGTAGAAGTTGAAATATGCTATCAGTTTTTGTGATACTTGAAGGGTATGGTAAATTGTGTTGTTTTGCAAGGTGACACACATCACAAGGAGATACTTCTTTACAGTAAATGAAAGGAAATTTTATTGACATTTGTTTCAATGTTGAATGTGATACATGTCCTAATCTAAGATGCCATAATGAAACATCTTCTTTGGAACAATTATTGGAAATTGACTTGGTATTGACAATTGTGTAAGGCTGAGCAGACTCTTATTTGTTCATCACTTGAGATTTGTAAGATGAACTTCTTATCATATATAATCCATCAACTTCATCAGCTAAACCAATCATCATATTCGATGGTATCTGTTTGATAACACAACATGAATCACGAAATGTTAGATAACAAGAAATGGTTCGAAGGAGTCTTGTAACAGATACAAGATTTACTTTGAAAGAAGGAAAATAAAGGACATTGTGTAAAGTAAGAGTGGGAGAAATATGTACTGTCCCAGAAAGGCAAGCTAAAGATTGAGAACCATCAGGAAGTAAAATTGCTATAGGTGTGATATTTCTGAGATCAGAAAATTGAGATTTTAAGAAACTAATATGATCAGTGGCTCCAATATCAAGAAGTCATCTGTATGTTGGGCTACCTGATGTATTGGCATTCAGTGTTGTTGTCTGTACCGAATTAGTTGAACTGATAGGTGTCTCTATGCTGATCGAGCCCTGTTTGTATGAGCTATTCAAAAGATTCTGATATTCCTCGTGTGATATAGTGATGTTACTTTCTTGCATTCTTTCTTCATTATGTGCTTCACCATGGCTATCTTGTGCAGAGTAATTTGCAGCATTTCTGGTTTTGTATCCAGGTGGGAATCCATGTTTCTTGTAGCATGTATCGATGGTGTGGTTTGTTCTTCCACAATGAGTGCACATTTTCATGTTGTTTCAACGTCCTCTTCCAAAAATATTGGAAGATCCACGTCCTCTTCCTTGCATATAATTTCCTCTCTGAACATTGTCTACTGTGCTAAGAAACACTTTTGGATTAACAGTCAATTGATTTAGGCTAGATTCACATTGAATATGCCTTTCTTGCTGAACAACCAGGGAAAACACTCTGTTGATATCTGGCATTGGATTGATCATCATCACTTGGGATCTTACATGAGCATATTGCTCATTAAGATCTTTGAGAAATCTCACTATACAATCTTGTTCTTTATATTCACGCATCAACCTGTAACCATTACATGAATAGTGCACTGTACAACTACATGATGGTGATGGCCTTAAATTGTAAAGCTCATCCCACATGATTTTCAAATCTGTGAAATAATCAGTTACAGATTTATCACCTTCCTGCATAAGATACATTTCTTCATGTAGATCAGATATTTTGAAGATATCTGAATGAGAGAATCGTGCTTTGAGATTTCTCCACGCATCCTTTGCTTGATCAATCCAAAGAATGGATCTTGCTATGCTACTATTGATGGAACGATGAATCCATGCTAAAACAATGGTATTACACCGCTCCCATGCTGGAAAAGTTGGATCATTAGCATCAGGTTTCTATATTGTACCATTAACGAAACCAATTTTATTTTTTGATAGAAATGCCATGCTCATAGATCTTGCCCAAGAATGATAATTGGTTGGATCTAAGGGTGGAGTTACTAACACTAAAGCTGGACTTTCATTAGAATGTAAAAAGAAAGGGTTACTGAGATTTGTGTGATGATCTGGAAGAGGAATAGCCATGATGAAAGAATGAAAGCAAGAGAAGAAAAGAGATTGCAGCGGAATACTTGGTTACTAGAGTCCAAATAGCTCTGATACCATATTACAAAAGTGAACTAACTTCATATCAGAAGCAAGGAAGAAGAAGAGAGAAAATAGAAAACTAATTCTCATTGATTGGTAAGAAAAAATTACAAAGATTACAGAGAAGACTTAAGCTTCTACTATTTATACACGAAAGTTAACGATAAAGAAATTAACTAACTTGATTCTGTAACTAACTAAACTGTCATAGTAGAAAAACTCTAAGTGACAATTACTACTGGATATTGGGCTCACTGGGCTCACTATTGGTGGGCTGACTGTTGTTGATTTGTAACAAAATCGAAGTGAATTTTATTGCGTTCCTTACTTTCACTTGAATTGGCAACTAACTTTGAAAAGTGTGTTTTTTTGTCTCCACATTCGAGCTAAAAAACGAAAAGGTTGTGTTCTAATAAATTTTAAATTTGAATTATTGATTTCTTCATCTAGCATTAGCAATTAAAATTGATTATTTTCTATGAATAAATCAATATTTTATAGATTTTGTATGAGCAAGTGCCTAACTATTATGCGGGAACAGTGGCAGACCAAAACTTTTTATGATAGGGGTCTAAAATAAATATCAAAATTACTTAATAAAAAAGATTAATTATTACAAATATTTTTTAGCAAATGCCCAACTATTAAGTTCAGAAAGAGACTATTCTCGGGTGCCACTCTCCCTTTATCTGGATAGTGCATTCCCGTAGCCAAGTATTGAAAAGTGAGTCAATTACTTGAAAAATGTGAATGTCGCTTTGCTTTCTATGCATGAATGCGTTAGTTAAGCTATGTATTACGAGACTAATTCAGAGAATGCATGCGTGGCTGGCTAGCGTCTATGAAGATTTTATAAGAACCACAAGCCAGATTAAAACACTCTTATTTCTTGCAACTAAAATTCCTTCATCATTCATGGATATGATGTATGTTGGACCCATGAAAGTTGTAGCTTATACTTTATCACTCTTTATATCTATGAAGTATTGACACTTCAAAAATCCTGACGTGTCGTGTCTGACACTCACCGACACTTCAAAAATCCTGACGTGTCGTGTCTGACACTTTTCGACACTCACCGACACTCTGACACTCTAATACTCGTTGCAAAGACTTAAAAAAGATTCAAAGGTTACGTTGCGTTGCATTTTGAGTTCCTACTATTAGATTCGTTAGATTACGATTATAATTTTATTGACTTTAATATAAACAATTGGGATATCTTATGTCTCACCTTGGGATTCTAACTCCCTGGGAGACCGCCCCAGATACTATAAGTGGTAACCACCACATCGTCATACGCTGACATTGCCAGGCACAGGGGCTGCATCACTGCTATCATAGCAGTGTCAATCACCCCTAACTGATCCCAAGGAGGGTTGACCCCCTCTCACCAAGCCACACAGGATCAACGTCTCTTTCCCCAACACCCATTTCCACACACAAGGAGAGGCATCTTATGTATCGTTATTCTGCCCATATTCCTTGAGTCACATACACACATTCCCCCCCATTATCATACATTAGCATTCATACTTGAGACAGTGCCTCCTAACTTGATCTTTATCTATGCTAGAGGTATAACCCATACAGTGACTCCATCCCAGAAAGAAACATAGCGGGCTTATAGATTCCAATGGTACACATATATTCAATCTGAATATGCTCAATGGATGTGAATGAAGATGGCTATCTATATACCCAACTGGGAACATAAAAAGAGATGGGCAAAATCATGTTTCTATTTATTTGGTGCTTATGGATCCAAGTTCTTCACTTGATTGGGAGGTCAACGCCATTGTAAATTTCTCTGTATATAATTTTCTCAATGACAAGTACGTTATCACTCAAGGTACGAGATCATCTTCTATACGACAGTAGTATGTGCATCTGCAATTAAGAAAAAGACAAGTGGACTAAAAATTATTTTTTTTCTTTTCTCTGTACCGACAACACAGCTTATTGCTCCATTTTCATTGGCTGGTTGCATGGAGTGTATTGTGCAACCGCTGCACCATAGATATTTCCCTCAAGGTACAATTGTAGTTCCGTACTTACAAGCTTATTATTATATTACATTTTGTATAGCTAACTTGTAATATTCATTAATTTCTTTGATATTGCATTCCACTTTTACGCTGTGTTGTTGACTTCTAAGTTGTATAAATATTTTTGTTATTCTTTGGTCACTTGTTATGACCGAACAGGTAAAACTTCTTTTCTATGCCATATTCCGAAATAAATGAATTGCCTAATTAAATTTTTATTATGTTATCTAATATTACGTATTTGTTGTTTGAAATGCATGCAGATGCAACTAGAAGGCATTTCAATGCCCTGAAAACTGAGTGGGGTCTCCCAAAATTTATTGACCTCGACATAGTTAATGATCCTTCAAATGGTTATCAGATTCACGATACATATGCGTTTGGAGTAGAGGTTTTTGTTGGCAAGACCATGAATAAAGGCGATTGCTTATCAATGATACATGGACCTGTCACTCATTATCATAGTTGGAAATTTGACAACTTTTCAATCGCTCGTTCAGATATGTATGAGTCTATATCGTTTGTCGGTGGAGACTAAAAATGGTATATTTATATGGAAAAAAGAAATATCAAGGACATAAACTTGTATTATTTCAGTGACTTACACAAAATCTTACGGGTAAGATTTTGTGTAAATCTGAAGAAAAAAAATTTCTCTCCTCGATTACATTATTAACGTGTAAAGAGAAAAAAGAGAACAACTTTTCAGATTTACATAAAGTTTTACTAATAAGACTTTGTGTAAGTCAGTAAAAATACACAAATTTGTTTCACCAAAAAAGTACACAAATTTGTATCCTTTTAAAGAATATCCACTAAACAATATTTATATACATACAGACAAACTTATAGATGCTTCTAACTTTCTCAAAGAATGTTCGAATTAGTACTCGAAACTATACGAGATATTAAGTTGAATTTTTAGAGATAGTGCTTTTTTTACAACAATTTGTTTCTTTATAATATAAATTAGTAATCAATTCAAGAACCAAATTGATATCTAAATATATTGAAATTAGAATAAATTGATGTTTATTTGAACGTTAAAGGATCAAATTAATGTACAAAATCTTTTGAGTAACAATTTAATATGTCTGTGTATCAATTAATTTGAATATTTATTCTTTGGCTGATTTGCCCTTCATTTTTATTTTTATTTTTGCAGGAAGCTTATTTTATATCCTAATGGAGTCGTTGAAGGAAAGGGCATTAGTATCTCATTATTTTTAACCGTGGAGGTCTCAACTCTCCCTCTCAATGAGAATATCTTTGGTATTACAAATGTATCAAAAATTCGGTGCATTTTTCACTTATTTTGTGACACGTGTCTTACTTTATATCAAACTAGTATATTACCTGTGCGATGCACGGAGAAAAAAGATCAAAAATTTTGTCGTCCGCTGTGGTTGGTTAATCGCACTGCAAACATTATATTTACAAAAAACTGTGTTGTTATTTTGTTCTATATTCAGGTAAAAAAATTTCAGCATTGACACAGAGCTTTGCAAATATCAACCACAAACAAAAATCTGTTATTCAGAGGAATAATTAATTTTGCATACAACCATCATAATACACCATAATACGTTATAATACACCATATTAACATGAGAAAGAGATATAAAAAAAAATGCGTACAAATCATTGTTAACTGTAACATTAATCAACAAAATCAAGGTAACAATAACACCAAGCAAATATGGATTTAAAATATCAGCTTTTACCTATAATATAAAAACGCTATTCATTCGGTGTCATTTCTTAGCAATCATTGGAGGGATGAGTTCAACACTTACTAAATATGTCATTTCTTGTGTGATTTTCGTTCCTTGTGCCTACGATACATAAGGCAAAAACTAATTAAATAAGTAACACTAATATGTTAACACCCAAAAGTCATAATATCAGCAAAAAAAAAAAATTTGGATTAAATTTTTTTAAGGACCAAAAAAAAAGTTGTCTGAACGGGATTTGAATGCAACTTAATCAAATAAGCATGTATAAGTCATATTTTTTTGCTTACATTGCAACAAATGCATATGAACAAAATAAAAGCAACTACACTAATCTTTGAGATAGACTTTCATTTATTGCAATCACATTTAAAAAATAATAATAAATAATTATTATTTGCAAGGATTTGTGTCGTTAGTATTTGAAATTTTACAAATTTGTATTTACAAAAATAAAAATCAGATTTACGAATTTAATTATAAAAGAAGAAGGATGAAATTTTAATTTAATTATAAAAATGTGATTGTGGGTCGGCCCTCCAGGCCGAGTCCAGTTGGCCACCTCTAACTATCAGCATGTAAAAGGTTTTTATATTTATCCACACAAAAAAAAAAATTATAGTTGCGTCTAGGTTTTTATATTTTATCTCAGAGATTAACTTTCATTTACTACAATCAGATTTATAAAATAATAATAAATAATTATTTTTTTTGCAAGCATTTGTGTCGCTAGTCTTTGAAATTTCACAAATTTATATTTACAAAAATTGAAATCAGATTTAGTAATTTAATTATAAAAGAAGAAGGATAAATTTTAGTTGAATTATAAAAATATATTAGCAGGCCGGTGCTCCGAGCCGAGCCCAGTTTTTCATCTCTAACTGTCAGCATTTTATATAAATAATTTTTTTTTGCAAGAATTAGTGTCGTTAGTGTTTGAAATTTCACAAATTTGTATTTACAAAAATTGAAATCAGATTTAGTAAATTAATTATAAAAGAAGAAGGATAGAATTTCAGTTGAATTATAAAAATATATTAGCGGGCCGGCCCTACGGGCCGAGCCCAGTTTTTCACCTCTAACTGTCAACATTTTATATAAATAAATTTTTTTTTGCAAGGATTAGTTCGTTAGTCTTTGAAATTTCACAAATTTGTATTTACAAAAATTGAAATCAGATTTAATAATTTAATTATAAAAGAAGAAAAATAAAATTTCAATTGAATTATAAAAATATATTGGCGGGCCGGCCCTCCAGGCCGAGCCCAGATTTTCACCTCTAACTGTCAGTATTTTATAAAAATAATTATTTTTTGCAAGTATTTGTGTTAATTACACTCTTGCAATAAAAAAATGAAAGTTTAATTTCTTTCTTATATACTAAATTAAAATTTTCATTTTTATAGTTCTTAAATTTTAATAATTTTTTTTTACAGAATGACAGACGTCATTTTTTATTTAAATTTAAAATTTAAAACCTTTTATATTAATTATACATATTTTTTATATAATTTTTTTCTATTTTATTTTATGATTTTTATATATATTTTTAATTGGTTAGAAATGTATATTTAAAAATTTTAGGTTAAATATTTTTTTAAAAAATACATTATACATGTGTATTTAAAATTTTTATGTTAAAATTTTAATTTAGTTTTAGTAAAGTATAAATTATGCCATTTCTTATTTTTTCTTTTAAATTTTAAATTTTAAATAATTTTTATCGACTATAAATGTATTTTTATAAATTTAAATATTTTATTGTTTAATCTATAATTTTATATTAAATTCAAATTTATTGTATATATTCTTTTTCATTCCATAAATATTAAATGATGAACTCTTTTCCCACATATCAAGTTCACATAATTTTTCATTTAATTTATTTACAAATTTTGAATTTATTTTACAATATAAATATTTTTGTTATTTTACAATTTTTTTTAATATTTTTGTTTTTTAATGCATCATTAATAGGGCTAACAATTATCCATGCAAAAAATAGTGGGATATACAACAAAAGAAATGTAGATGTCTTTTTACTCATAATAAACAACAAAAGAAAAGTAGTAGAACATTAAATGAGTTGTCTGCCACACAAAATTTTCTAAAAGTTTTCTCATCATTACAAAGTTAAAAATTCAAAACCAAAATTCAAATTTAAACATAAATTCAAAATTTAGAAGAGTTGAAATCCAAAATTTGAAATCAATTCAGAATTCGAATTTCAAAAGACTGAGCAATTCCAATGCAGAAAGCATTTAAAAGAGCTGAGTAATTTCAATGTACAAATCAGTGGGACATTGAATGAGTTGTCTGCCACGATAAATGATTAAATTAATTTTTCTTGGATTTTTTATTTCGATTTTTAAAAGAAATTATTATTTATTTAAATTTTTATTTCCAAATCCTTTCCCACCGTTACAATTTGAAATTCAAAATTTGAAATCAATTTAGAATTCGAATTTCAAAAGAGTGAGCAATTCCAATGTAGAAAGCATTTAAAAGAGCTGAGTAATTCCAATTCAAAATTTGAAACCATTTCAAAATTCGAATTTTAGATCAGATGAGCAATTTCAATGTAAAAAGCAATTAAAACAGCTAAGTCATTCCATTTCAAAATTTGAAATTTTTAGATCAGATGAACAATTAAAACAGCTGAGTCATTCCATTTCAAAATTCAAATTTTAGATCAGATGAGTCATTCCAATTAAATGAGCAATCAAAATTCGAATTTCAAAATTCTAATGTAAAAAGAAATTAAATCAGCTGACCAATTCCAATGTGATGGGCAGTGGGACATTCAATTCCTTGTCTGCCACCACAAATGGTCATTAAATTATTCGATTTAAAAATTAAAATTTGATTTTTAAAAGAATTTTTTTTTTCAATTTACCCAATAAAGTAAGTTTGTATATGCCATGTAGTGTGAATACAATTTGTAGAATTAATCAGGGAGTGACACTTAGCAAAACTTTCTAACATTGAACTCTCCTTTATATATATAAGATTATTCTCTCTCCTAATTTTAAAATAAATTATTTATTATGAATTTGACAAAAATAAAACACGTGTTACAATACGAATGAAAGATGCACCGAATCAAACCTGCTCTCCTATTTCGTTTCAGTAGTGGGAAATTTTCCGCAATGAGCGAAAGCCGCGAGACAACTCTCTCTAAGGAACTCGGCAAAATAGCCCCCTACCGGTTGACCCTTTAGCTTTTCCAGCGATACGAACTTATCACATATCCACCCAATTTATTTACTTTTCTTAAAATGATGGAAAAAAGAATTAGCACCAAAGAAATTTTCCCTCCCAACACTAAACTAGTTGTGGATTACAGTATGCGTGCAAAAGACCAAATCAGTAGGCAGCATGTTCAACAAAAATGTGCGGCCATGTTATGTTTTCCTGTAGACGCAAATTTAGGAGAGAGAGAACAAAACACCTGTGGACCCTAACTAATTTTATGTCTGCAGAAAAAATAAATTTTTTCCTATTTCATGATATATATATATATATATATCTACATTTATAGTATCCTTATTTTTATAATTATTTTCTTCTATATTTTTTTTTCTTTTTTGGTAAGAAAATACCTATTTCCAATTTATTGAAAATACATTAAGACTAGTCTCGAGTAGGGGTGTTCATCAACCGATCCAAACCGATTCAAACTGCGGTGACCGAACTGAAAAATCGATAACCGAATAAATCGAAAATCGAAAAACTGAAAACCGAATAAAAACCGCAAATTTTAATTGGATTGGATCGGTTTTTGGATTGGTAGATGAAAACCGATCCAATCCAAACCGATCAAATATATTAATTTTTCTCTACAACTTGAGTCTTTCCTCAATCATAGTCTAAAAATTTCTAAACTCAATACCCATCAACTAAACCCAAGAAAAAACCTAATCACATATCATCAACAAAATTTCATTTATGTAGAATTTCATATCTCATAGTCCAAAAAAAAACTATATTATCTGATACTTTTATATTTTAAAAAAATATTACAAAACCAATATATACAAAAAATGTTATTTGCATAATAATAATGAAATAAATTTTAGAATTTTCAAAAAATTAAAAATCAATCCAATCCAAACCGAAAAAAATTGGATTGGATTGGATTGGATCGGATTTGAAAAAAAATTCAAACCGAATGGATGATTACATGATCAAACCGAAAAGATTGAATCAGATGCTTTTTGCTTCCAAAACCGATCTAATTCAGACCTCGAACACCCTAGTCTCGGGTGCCTCTCTCCCTTTATCTGGATAGAGCATTCCAAAAGCCAAGTCTCAAAAAATGTCAGTGTCGGTTTGCCTTCTATGCTTGAATGCCTTCTATGCTTGAATGCGTTAGTTAAGCTGTGTATTACGATACTAATTTAATTAGCAAGTGAGAGAATGCATGCGTGGGTGGCTACTGGCTACTGACTAGCGTCTTTCAAGAACTTATAATAACCAGTCGAAAGTTCTGTTGACTCTTTGGCCAGATGGGAGGTATTTAACCCTGTAATTTTTCTACCTAGTATTCGATTCTCGATTTTTCCCGCAAAAATATTATAATAATAATTCACTAATCATTAATTAAAAAAAATATTGTTTATAAAAAAAAAATTAAATATTAATCAACATATTTTTACTATAATAAAATTATTATTATACAATAAAAATAATAATATGCAGTAAAAAATTTGTAATTTTGTTACATTAAAAACAGTAATAAACAAGGAATAAATTTGCTACAATAAAAATAGTAATAAATAGGGAATAATTACTATGTATCTAAATAGTAATTTTGTTACATTAAAATCATAATTTTGTAATTTTACAGTAATTTTGTAATTATGTTTTTACATAATATTTAGTGATTAATTAATGAGTAATGTTTAGTATTTTAACCAATAAAAAAAAAGGAATGAGTGAAAAGTTAAAATGATGCCATTTAATATAAAAATTGGTCCACCAGGACTTAAACTTGCTAGGTCCTTTACGGTATTAAATAGCCTCTATTAATAAATATGGAGAGAATTAATAAAATACCGAGAATCATATATCATATAAGAAAATTAATGGATAAAAACCCACATATAATCAAAGAGCCAAGTTATGTTACTGTGTTTTAAAATCTCACTCCACCCCTGGTTGACGAGATCATCTTTTGTATATCTGTAATAGGTACATCTGTCATTCAGCAAGTGATATTTGGATAAAAAAATATTTTTCTCTTCTTTCCATACAAGATGACAGTCATTTCTCATTTTTTATTTGATAGATGTACTGAGTGAATGGTACAACAGTAGTACCATAGATATTTCCCCGGTTGACCCGGGTCAATCATGACCCCTCCCCTTTGAGAGTTGTGGTCACAAGTTAGACCCTATATGCACATCGACTCCTTCGACTCCTAAAACCCAGCTGAGTTTCAGTGACTCCAGGGTCAAAGAGAGTCACTGCATTTTTTATTTTTTTTTTAAAATTCATGAAACAACGTCGTTTTATTAGAAAAAATAAAATAAAAATGCTTACAAACCTAATTCTAATCGTTCTCTTTTCTCCCAGCAACCTAGACGTCTTCAATCTTCACCTCGCTGCCGTGAATCTTCTAGAAAAGGTAAGAATTTTACCCATTCGAATGAAATCTTTATGGTCGTCGATGGAAAACAAAAACTCGTTCTTACTTCCTTTAAATTTTTCTTTGGCAGAGACCTTGTCAAAAGAGGCGGGTCAGCGTAGTGACCCGTTAGAATATGTGTTTTATACTTTGGTATCTTGATACTTTAATTAGGTTATGTAATATTGATTATTGACTTGTAATTATAATTGGTGAATTATGTTTAATATATTTTAAATATTTGATGATTGGTGACTTATTTTTTAATATTTTCATATAAGATATATATATATATATATTATTTATATTTATATTTTTTTAATATATAAAATCAGAGTGCAGGTTGGTGAGAGATCCAACTACTAAGGAACAAGTAGAATATTATGAATTTACATTGCTCCAATCTATCACGCCATAATAGCACCACCTAGCTTCGCTGCATCGGGATAGCAGTAGCACATATCTTTTGATAGTGATCGTGATAGGGATAATGAAACCAGTGATCGTGATCGTGATCGTGATCGTGATAGTGATAGAGTTCAACATAATAACCCTCGGTCAAACCCGTAATCCCATAACTTCTGATCTCGTCCGGCCCTGCCCCATTTTTAAACACTCTTCTGTTAGGTACGTGTGACCAACAAAGTTTGTGGTGCATCTTCTTTATTTTAGTGGTGGGCCCCACTTGCCCCCAATTGCCCACTTAAATTGAAAAGAAAAGAAAGAGAGCATCCGAGAAAAGCACCGGCAGGCTTGCGCGAAAGAAAGAAAAAAGAGTGAGAGGGGGCAGCGCGGAGAGAGAGAACAAAAGAGAGGAGAGTAAAGAAGATGTTTGTTCTTCGGCGAATCCAAACTTAGTCGGAAGGAGCTCAGATTTTGGGTTATGTAGAACGTCTTGTGTGCCATTTATGTTTCACTGTTGTTATTGGTTTCTGAGTTGTCTACTTCAATTTGCACTTGAATATGGTGTTTGGCCCCCAGCTGCACGCCAAAGTTAGAATCTTGGAGAAAACTTCACAAGCCAGATTAAAGCTCTCTTAGTTCTTGCAACTAAAATTCCTTCATCATTCCTGGATATGATGTCTGTTAGACTCATGAAAGGTGTCACTCATTACATAGATTCAAATCTACTGTCTTCTTTTTTTCTTTTCCTTTTCTTTTTCTTAATCGTTAAATCTGATTATGAAATTAAATATAATTTAATTTTGATAACTCTGCAAGTTTACTGGTGTGTTTTAGGAAGAAAAGCTCCACCAAGTCATTACTCACTCAAAATTGAGTCATTCTCATTGCTTTGCAAGGCCTCAATAAATAACTTTGACTCTGAAGAGTTTGAAGCAGGGGGTTACAAATGGTATGCGTGCTTTTTTGCCATCAAATTATCCCTCTCATTTTGCTCATATACGAGTTTAACCTTACTGAACTTCAGAACTGGTTCACAATAATGATAATATTATACGCATTGCTTCAAAGTTAGGACTTAGGACTACCCTTAATTATACTTCACATCTTATGCAAGTGAATGCAGGAGGCTGTCCATATACCCAACTGGGAACATAAAAGGAGATGGGCAAAATCATGTTTCTATTTATTTGGTGCTTATGGATACGCGTTCCTTACCTGTTGGTTGGGAGGTCAACGCCATTATAAATTTCTCTGTATATGATTTTCTCAATGACGAGTACCTTACCACTCAAGGTACAGTTGTAGTTTAGCACTTACAAGCTTGTTATTATTTTACATTTTGTAGCTAACTTGTAGTAATATTCATTAATTTCTTTGATATTGCCTTCCATTTTTATGCTGTGATGTGATGTTGACTTCTAAGTTGTATCAATCTTTCTGTTATTTTTTGGTCACTTGTTATGACAGAATAGTTAAAATTTCTTTTCTTTGTCACATTCCGAAATAATTGGAATTTCTAATTAAATTTTTATTATGTTATCTTATATTACATATTTGTTATTTGAAATGCATGCAGATGCAACTGTAAGACGTTTTCATGTCCTGAAAACTGAGTGGGGTTTTCCAAAATTCATTGATCTTGACACATTTAAGGACCCTTCAAATGGATATTTGATTGACGATACCTGTGCGTTTGGAGTTGAGGTTTTCGTTGTCAGGACCATGAATAAAGGCGATCGCTTATCAATGATACATGGACCTGTCACTCATTCTCATAGTTGGAAATTTAACAACTTTTCGATTGCTAGTTCAGATATCTACGAGTCTGAATTGTTGGTTTGGGGAAACTACAAATGGTATATTTAAGTGCACACTAATTATTCAATTGCTTCTTTCTTAATACCAGCTTCTTGTTAAGTAATGGACAAATTAATGCTTAAAGATATACACGATATTAGGTAGTTTCTTTTTCTTTTCTTTTTTAAGATTTTCATAAGAATTGTATTCTCTTAGTTTAAAACAATATAAGTATCAAATGATTTTTCTTTTAAACGATATGGTTCTTTATAATTTATAGTAATTATCAATTAAAGCACACTAAGTTGATGTCTACTATTGATTAAATTCCTGTTTTTTTTTTTTTTTAAATTTAACAGTATCAAATTAATAGCAAATACAAATCATTATCTTGTGTATCTTTAAAGACTAATTTTAGTATTTGTTCTATCTTGGTATTTTCTTACTGCAAAATGTAAAAGCAGAATATGATTGTTCAAGGGCTAATCTGTTTTTATTATTTGTTTATTTCTTATTTTACCAGGAAGCTCCATTTTTATCCCAATGGACAAGATGAGGGCAAGGGCAACAGTATTTCATTATATTTAGTTTTGGATGTATCAACCCTTTCCCCCAACACTGCATTAGTTGTGGATTTCACTTTGCGCGCAAAAGACCAACTTGGTGGGAAACATGCTGAAGAAAAATGTGAGGCCATGCTTGCTTTCCGAGTTGAACTCTTATAACAATATACATATTACTGTGGTTTATATATAGATATCTGAAATGTCATTAATTAAAAAATATATGTAAATTTACATCAAATCAATTTATATATGTGTATATAATCTTCATTGTTGTTGAAATGTAATTATCCTAAAATTAAAAAAGTATATTTTTTTTAGATGAATAATGTTACTCATTTATCCTCGCAAAATGCAGTTACGGACTTTGTGCTGAAGTAAATCTATTTTCTGTGTTTTGCTCTTCATTTGTAGCTTTGGTGATGGGTTACTATTAAGTATTTGTCTTTTTTTGTAAAGAACCTTCGGGTACACCGTCCAAAAAGCTAGCTCAAAGGGTGAGAGTGACTAAAGTCTTATAAATTTCTCAACACGCCCCCTCACGCAAGAGCCTTTTTGGCTTGAAGCGTGGATTATTCAACAGGCCCAATATTTGGTTTACCTTTTGTGCTTTCACTTTAAAGTGGGGGCGGTGAGGATCGATCATGTAAAGAACTCTGGATACACCACCCAAAAACTAGCTCAAAGGGTGAGAGTGCCCTTGATGTTATAAATTTCTCAACAGTTTTAACGTCGACTGATTTCCCTTGCAGGTTGTAGAAATTATTCCAAATCGAACTCGCATTGGGGGTACCCACAGCTCATGGCTTTGTCTAAATTTATCGAACCACATTTGGGTTTTTTGGTGGATGATAGCTGCATCCTTGAAGCTGAATTGAAAATACTTGGCTTAATTACGCGCCCAATTGATTGACATGGATGTACACGTGTTACGGAATTTCGTTAGTACCATTCCGATGTTAGATACGTTGTTGTTATCCCTGTAAATTTTGATTATAATGAATATTCTCTTTTGATGTTGTTATTGAAGTAAATTTCTTTAATTTTGCACATTCATAATTTGTTATATATAATTTTTTTTTTTTGGGTAATCAAAAAGTAAAATGTATGTTAATATAAAATGGTGGCCGATTTGTTATGATTGCCGTAATATAAAATTATATTTATCCTTTTAAATTACATAACTTATATTCTTTCACTCTCACAAAGAAGTGAGACTCACACCTTTATTTTTTTTTGTCAACTCTTTCTCCTTCTTTATCTATTTCTTTCTCTCTCTCTCTAAATGACATAACTTTACATCCTTTAAAATGACACAACTTTACATCTTTTAAAATGACACACACTTTACCCATAAAATTATTGATGACTTTTTATTTATATATTTAAGTTTTTGAGTTGAATTAATTGCTTGTATGAAAATTAAGATGCCTTGCTATCCCATTTTTTAGTGAAAATAAGTCAGGATAAAATATAACTAAATATGAGGGAGTGTGTTATCCATCACTTATATATTTAAGTGAGATAATCACTTTACAAGATTTCATCATGAAATACAAGCAAACAGACATGTGCCAACTATTAACCTAAGAAAGACACTATTCCATGTCTTAAAAAAAAAGAGAAATTAAATGATGGTAATTCAGTTGGCATTAGAAAATTGAGCAGATAGAAATAAAAGTATATGTTCGATCCTTCCCAGTACCATCTTTAAGAGAGATTTAAAACTTTAATCCCGAGACTCGTTCCGAATCGGACTAGTCACAAAACGATAAACCAATTGGAATATCTAAAAAAAAAAGACAGTTGGTTTGTTTGATAATGTTCTTTTTTTTTTTTTTTTTTTGCTTTTAAAACTTTTTTTTAGACTAATTATGGAAATGCGTGTTTTTTATGTTTTTTTGTTTGTTTTGAAAATTAAAAATATAAAACAGAAAACTAAGACACGTTCTCTAAATTTGATTTTAAAAATAAAAAATCAGTTATAATGTTATTTTTTTTTATAAAACAGATCTTATTAAACAAATTTTTATTTTATTTTATTCTGAAAATTAAAAAATTATTTTTAAAAACAATATTGAAACAGGGCAGTATTCCTGGGCGCCTCTTCCTTTATCTGGGTGGGGAGTGTATTCCCAAAGACAATAGTACTGCAGTGATATTTTTATTTAGAACCTTTACATTGATTATATTAAAGGTTTGCTCAAATGGAAGGGAAAAAAAAAAAAATAACCAAAAACAGTTATATAATAAAAATAGGGGCAAATAATATTTACAAATTTTTTTGTTTACAAACTTTTACAAACTACACTATCTTCTCCCGGTAGAACACTCATTACACTATATTCTTCTAGAAGAACATAATATAATTTGTAAAAAATTTCAAAAAAAAATTATAAACAAATCCTTTCTCGTAAAAGTATTGCAAATATACTCTATGTGAATTTTAATGCGTTCCTCATTTTCACTTGAATTGGCAGCTAACTTTGAAAAGGTGTGTTTTTGTCTCCACATTTGAGCTGAACAACGAAAATGTTGTATTCTAATAAATGTCTAATATGAATTATTGATTTATATATCTAGCATTAGCAATTAAAATTGATAATTTTCTATGAATAAATCAATATTTGATAGACTTTGTGATCAATTATCTTATGCTTATTTAATTTTACTAAAAAGTGAAGGGACGACAAAAATCGAACTTGTTATCTCATGATTATTGAAGCTCTGATACCATGTAAAAAATTAATTTAACTCAAAAGCTTAAAATTATAAATGTTGCTATGTCAATAGTTGTGATATGTCAATAGTTGTGATTTTTTTCATGACATATCATTTTAAAATAAGACATTAGAAAATTTATTTTTTGATTATATATTAAAATGTATACTTTGATATCTCGTTTAAATGTCACATGACTACATGAGCCAATCACAATCTTCTACAGACAAATCATTTTCTAACCCACTCTTCTATCATGTAATGTCTATAAATAACAATATTGTACATAATCTAATTAAATTAAATAAAACATAAGACGATCTGTTCTCAATCAGACTGATTAGTACATATACGCACTGCGCACCATGCTTTGTCACTTGTCCTTTCCCACATTTTATTCTCAATCGGTATTTTATTTTATTTAATAAAAAACAAAATGGAAAGACCAAAACAGGAATCAGCTTACGCGGTACGCATCTCAAAACGTGCGCTCTAAATGAGGTGTCCACTCGCTTATCCAAACCCGAATCCGAGCGTTGAACAAATCATCTCCTCTTCGTTCAAAAATATGAACGGTCAGGATTGAATAATGAAAACCCCCCCTAAAAAGGACTTACCCACACCTAACCAATATCACCAATGAAATCGAAAAGTAACCCGCGCGATTTTGAATAATTCTTCTGCTCCATATTCTGATTTAATTTTATTTCTTCCTGTAAAATTATTTGTTTATTTATATATTCAAGTTCAACGCTTACACCCTCAGGTTCTTCATAATAGAGTGAGTGTGTGTGTGTGAGAGAGAGAGAGAGAAGATTGATGATGAAGAGGAAAAGCCAAAATAGGATTGGGAAGAAGGAGAGGAGAAAGATGAAGGGCGCGCTTTGTAACAGCACCACCAGACAGTTGCAGCTTCAGCTTGGTCAAGTCTCACTCATTCCTCTCCATCCTAAATCTTCTACTTCTTCAGCCGTTTCACGCTTCCAGAACCTTCTCGATGCCAAACCCAATGACGCCTCTTCCTCTCGCGTTACGGTTCCCGACGACGCTGCCACCGTCGACGCTGACAGAGATTTCATTCTCAGTCAGGACTTCTTTTGGTAACACCCCTTTCTCGTTTTGATTATCTGCGATTTCCCTCTTTTGCTCCAAAGTTGTTAAACATGTATTCCTTTTGTTTCTCGTGGCAGCACCCCGGATTACATAACCCCAGATAATCAGAATATTTTGAATGGCTTCAATTGCAACATGGTGATGTATATCAAATTCATTATGCTTTGCATTTTTTACTTTCGTAATGATTTCATCCTTAAAAAAAAATTATAGCTTTTTTTTTATCTTTCTCTTCCGCAGGAAAATACCCCTTGCCCCAAATCACCGGAGAAGCTGAACACTACGAAAAGCAAGAGATGCCGTCTGGGTAAGACTAGTTACATTTTGTTAATCCCCATTTGAAATTGAGTTATTGTGAGGAGTTCACTGAGGAATGCTATGATATGAAGTCATGCAGATAGCTTGTAGAACTTATATTAATTGATTAGGTTAAACTAATAACCGAGAGATTGTGCTCTGCGTGTATATATGTTTATTAAAAAAAAGGACCTATAAATTTTAGAATCTGAATACTGAGAGGAAGCCTGTACAAGATTATTCAAAATAACCTTGCCGCCTTAAGTGATAGGGTGGAACCTTTTGCGAATTTACCATACTGAGGTTTTGATGTCAAGTTCCATCATGCCTGGCAAATTTATAGGATCTTTGTCTAATGTAATTAGAGTTTTTCTTATTCCTTATCACTCTTCACTCAGGAATTTTGGTACATTGCGTGCTGCATGGGTTTACTACTACCACTTGAAAACAATTAGTACTATATGTATATGTATACATTTTTTTTCCATGTTTCACGAATATGTAAATTTATTAAGCTATTTTCTCTAATTGATGTGCATGCTTGTCATAGATGCTATCTCAGTAAACCCTCTCAGCCCTACCTTTTCTAGTGACCATCAACAAATTGTGGAACTTGGAAAGGAGACTATTGCTGAGGAAGTAGCTGTTGAGAAAACAATATCAGCTGGTAAACTAAAGGCACAAAATTATATTTCACATTCAGCAGTTGCATTGCGTTGTAGGGTTATGCCTCCTCCTTGCATTAGGAACCCCTATTTGAAAGACGTTTCAGAAAAGGAGGCAGATCCCTTTGGAAACCAAAGATCAAAATGTGCAGGTATAGTTTTGGTCAGTTCTTTCGCGAATCTTTTTTAATAATTGTGGAGAAATTAGTTGCAACATGTACGATATTATGTATTTTGGGTTTTTGTTCGCACCTATTGCAATTTCCTAACTGCATAATGGTTGAATTGCAGGCCTTTTTCCTGCATTTACTGGTGGTGATGGGCTTTCACGCTATCGCACTGACTTTCACGAGATTGAGGTAGTATGTTTCGAAAAGAAATTCCAACTGGAATTGGAATTACCTTGCTGCAATTCAACTTTTGGATTTGATGTATAATTTTCCCTTTTCTTATCAGCAAATTGGTCAAGGGAACTTTAGTAGAGTTTTCAAAGTATTAAAACGGATAGATGGTTGCTTGTATGCTGTGAAACACAGCACCAGACAGTTATGCCAGGAAACAGAAAGGTACCATCTTCATACCTATGGATGTTTCTTCCCTTGTGTTTAGCCAGTGATATTAATCCTTCGACATTGCAGGAGAAAAGCTTTGATGGAAGTTCAAGCTTTGGCAGCCTTAGGTGTGCATTTTACATTCTCAAATTTAGTTTTATGCTGCATAGTGCCTTTTATATTAGTTTTATTATCCTAAATTTCATTTACCTTCTTGCCTCTAGGTTCCCATGAGAACATTGTGGGGTACTATTCTTCATGGTTTGAAAATGAACAGCTGTACATTCAGATGGAGCTATGTGATCACAGCTTATCCATAAAAAACTGCTCTACATTATTTTCGGAAGTACTAGTGTTAGAAGCTTTATATCAGGTGAACTTCCTTTCATGACCAATTTTTTATAGACCTTGCTGGTATGCTTCATTACATGGCGCATCTAGGTGTCATTACAGACTAACATCACACACTACCTATTGTTTATATACGATGAAAGTCCCCTTTACTCTCTCTTAGATACTTTATCCTTTTACAGCGATACATAAGTTTTTACAAAACCTATTGTGCTTGTTTATATTTTGATATGACCTGAAAATTTGGACAGGTTGCCAATGCACTGCGATTTATACACGAGAAGGGAATAGCTCATCTAGATGTTAAACCTGATAATATCTATGTCAAGAATGGTGTTTATAAGCTTGGTGATTTTGGATGTGCAACTCTTCTTGATAGTAGCCTGCCAATTGAGGAGGGCGACGCCCGTTATATGCCACAGGAAATCCTTAATGAGAATTACGATCACCTTGATAAGGTTGATATTTTCTCCTTGGGAGCCTCTATTTATGAACTCATTCGCAGATTGCCTTTGTCAGAATCTGGATGTCAATTTTTTAATCTTAAAGAGGGCAAGTTGCCACTCCTGCCTGGTCATTCAATGCAATTGCAAAACTTGCTCAAGGTACATACATTGTTTTCATGCCTAAAATCTGGTGGGACTTGTGTTTTGGTTTAAGAATTATTAAAATATTGTCAATAATTCTTTCTTCCCTACGTTTGCTATATTATATCTTTGAACGTGTTGGAAAATTTAGCAAATGAGTTACTACAGTTGCACCAACGGCAAGTCTGATATATAGTTTGAAGGGGTACTTTGGTTAGGAAAATAGATTGCGCACATATAAAGGAATAATAGTACCATTGTTTGTCTATGTTTTAATTTGATATTCGTAGTTACTCATACATTTATTTTTCAAAGAAAACAAAAAATTACATTTGCATTTGTTTACTGATCTAGTGAAATTTAAGTCATCCAACCATTTCGTCATTTAAAATTGTAAAATGCAGATTTGCTTGTAAAGGACTTTTACTAAAGTGTTATGAATTGATATGATTGGTTGGGCTCATGCGATAAGGGTAGGTAGTTATTTTCAAAACTACTTTATTTATTTTTTTCACTCATGTATAAGTGTTATACTTTTTTTTTTATTTTGTAATCATGTTTATAAATTTTCTTGTATTAATAGTATTGTTCTTTTAAATTTTAAGGAGTTCAAAATTTTCCTGATGTTTTGTTTTGCTCTATTTTTTATTCAGATAATATGCCTAATTTGGTTGATTTGTCTGATTTTTTTGGTGATTCATTTAGGTCATGATAGACCCTGATCCGGTTAAGCGGCCTTCTGCTAAAGAATTAGTAGAGAACCCAATTTTTGGCAGAGCCCAAAGAACAGCCAAAATGTGATAAACCACAACTGTTTTTTGTTTGTTGGTTGGACCATCCTATATGTAAGATTGATCTTGATCGCATCATGGCCAATTTTGTGAAATGATTTTTTAAGATATAGGCAACATATTTTTTGTCAAGCATGGTGCAAGTACTGTAAATGCAATAGTTCAGTCAGACATGGTCGTGCATTGTAATGGACTACGATGAGCAAATGGCAATTCACCAAGGAGAAGCCCCTTGAAATCCAGAAAAAATTTTGGCTGCAATTTTTTACACCTCTTCCGTAGTCATATTATAAGATTGAACTGAATATATATATATATATATATAAATGCATTAAACGTGGGGAATCATAATTGGGAAAAATGTTTATCCTTTTAAATGACATAACTTATATCATTTCACTTTCCCAAAGAGATGAGATTCATATCTTTACTTTTTTTGTCAACTCTTTCTCCTCTTTTAACTATCTCTTTATCTCTCTTAAACTTAAAATGACACAACTTTATATATTTCAAAATGACACACTTTTTCCATCATAATTATATAAAAGATGAAAGCATTAATTGTGGAGAATCATAATTATATAAAAGATGAAAGCATTAAATGTGAAAAATTATAATTATACACATGTTATTACTGTAGGCAGTAGAAATGATTTTATCTATATAGGGTAAAGAAAAGTATGAAAACACCTTTCATTAATTTACTTAAAATTATAGAAACACCCCTTATTAATCAAAATGATGTACTTTTTGGGTAGCTGTAGATAATCTTATTTAAATAGGTTGTAGAAATATTATATATATATATATATATATATATATATATATATATATATATATATATATATATATGTTCTTTTATGATTGAAAGGTCATAGGTTTGAATCCAGGAAATAGCCTCTTTGCAATTATCTAAAGGTAAGGCTGTGTACAAAGATTTCCTCCACCCCACACTTGCTAGTCGAAGTTTTACACTCAATTTTGATCATTGATTCACTTTTATTCAATGGTTCACATTATTAAAAAATTTGAGTTTTAGATATAAGTGAGATCAACGGACAAAATTAAGAATGTAACTTACACTGATGTAAAATGATCCTGACATATATATATATATATATATATATATATATATATATATATATATATATATATATGGGTCAGGATCATTTTATACCGGTGTAAGTTACACTCTCAATCCCGTCTGTTGATTCAACTTATATCTAAAGGCTCAAATTTTTTAAAAATGTGAGCCATTGGATAGAAGTGGATCAATGGTCAAAATTGAGTGTAAGACTTCTAACTCTTACACCAGTGTAAGAATATCATGCCCCTATATATATATATATATATATATATGAATGTTGTTTAAGTGCAACCATTTTCATTTCCAAATGTATGGATTTTAAGCATGTCTAAAAAAAAATTAGTAAGAAATTTATAAATTCTTCGCTCTTTGAATTTAACAACTTATTCTAGTTATTAGGATCTATAAATTTCACGTTGCTAACAAAGAGGTTTGGATCGATTCTACAAAAAATCAGATCGAATTAGCTGATACTTAAATTGTTTGGACAAGAATATGGTTTCTCACTTTTTCGGTTAATGAATTTTCTTCTTAGCGCATACCATTTACTTTTTTTTGTGTGTTTCATAAAATAACTATATCATGCACGATGATAAATATATAATAAATATATTTTCTAATAGAAGTTAGTTTCTTTTAAAACCCTGGCAGATCTCTAACAAACTGAGTTGTTATTGATAGCACAAAGTCTATTCATCAGATTCTCACCATCAATTTTAAAAAAGTTTAATCATATTGTCTACATGCTTGGGGCCTGGCTTTGTTGACTATTTATACAAAATTATTTTTTAGCTAAAACTATTTTTTTTAAGAACATTTTGATTATAATTTTTTCTTAAATAGGAAAAAACTCATAAATCTTCGTATGATATTGTTTTGAATCACTTATTCTCTTATGTTTCTTTTTATCAATTATCATCTATGATTTTTTTTTCAATTTAAATTCATCTTTAACACCATTAGAAACTTAAGTAATTTATCTATTTCTTTTTCTGAAAAAGAAAATAAAAAGATGATAAAAAAGAAAAAAAAATCAAAACAAAATATATTGGAAACTTATATCATGTAGAAAAAAATTAAATGTAAAAAAAAAAATAGAAGAAAAGAATGAATATACCTAAATAAAAAAATGAAAACCCCAAGAAACTTAAAAAAATAATACTAAATATATTGAAAAAGTAAAAAAAAAAGAAATTAAATATAAAAACTGAAAAAAAATTATAATAAAAAAGAATATATATATATATATATATATATATATATATATATATATATATATATATATATATATATATATATTATCAAGATTTAGTTTCTTCAAATTTTATAATAATTTATTAAGTAATTTTGATATAATCTATAGTTCTATTTTGAAGATAAATTGTGTTTTTTCTTCAAAATTATTTTAACATTTATTTTAAATTTACTTACAAACAAAATATATGTAAATATATAAATTATGTTAAAAAAATTCAATAACTTATCTTAAATTTTGAAGAAATAAATCTTGATGACATCCTTATATTAGTATATATCTTGGTCCTATTTCTGTTTTCTATTTTTTTCAGTTATTTTTTTCTTTGATTTAAATTTATTTTTTATTTAAGTCTTTTTATGTCACCGTTTTAAGTTTTTAATATATTTGGTCGTTTTTTTTCTATTTTTTTCATCTATTTTCTTCTTTTTTATTCAGATATATTTGACCTTTTTTTTCTTCTATTTTCATTTTTATACATTTAATGTTTTTTCTTTAAGTGTTGTAAATTTTAACATATTTGATGTCGTTTTTTCTTCTATATTTTATCATCCGTCTATTTTTCTTAAAAGGATAAAATAACCAAATTACTTAAGTTTCTAATTGTAATAGGGATGTGTGTGGATGAAAAAAATCATACAGATGCAATTGATAAAAAAATAACATAAGGGGGTAAGTCATTCAAAGACAAAGATAAAAGTTGTTTGAATTATTCTCTAAAATATAAGTTAATATGGACATACATACTACGTCTTCTCGAAGAACATATGCTAGAAGCTGAGATTTTGATGGCTGTTATATTGCACTAGCTAATAATTAACTAGGACTGAAACAAGATAAAGAAATTGGAATGTCATACTTGTAAATTTTATTAATTAATAATTTGAACATGAGAAATAGCCGTGGTTCATTGTTGTTGGCTTGTTGCTTGAGGAAGAGGAGGAAACGCACACGGGAGTGGAGTAATTGGTATGCGGTTTTAGTGTAGAAAATCTCCAAGAGTTAATGTCATTGGTGTATGAGTTGATAAATGATGGCTAACAATGTGGAAAAAGAAAGCTATTTCTCCACCCACACGAAGAAAACATTCCCTTATTCCTAGACCCATTCACAAATGCAACTAATTAACATTGAAAGAACAATGTAGAAAACTGAAAAATAAAAAGATTAAGATTCAAAGAGCGTGATGACCCCACTCCTAAGTATAATTTCTTCTTGCAATCTTAAATACCTTACATTCACACTTATCAATCAACCTAAGCGTTCGAAGACAATTTCTCAATATAATATTAACAAAGAACCTCTCTTCAAGTCAAAGTTACAATTAGTTTCCTTAACTGGTGATTCATTGACTGACAACAACAAAGGTATGTCATCATCCTTTGACTATGGAAGCTCCTTTTTTTTATTTTTTAAAATATTCAACAAAATAAATATGATTTTTTGAGTATTACTTTTACGTTATTTTCGTGGAGATTATGTTTTATTTATTTTGTCTAATAAACGCGAAGCAATTTTCTTGCAGTGCGTACACATTAGATTGTTTTTGTAAATATCTACCCTAATATTTCTGAAATAGTACAATAATTGCTATGGCATCGAACAGTCATTTAGCAACTGTGATGGTGAAGTGACGCATACATTATTTTTGGCGCATTTGAGCCAATACAATCCTTGGCTGGTTCGTCGATATTGTCTAAGAAAAGACTCCCGCAGAGCAAGATATCAATTTTATTTCTTTTACAAAATCGACATCAATTTTGATGACGAACATAGCACAGCACCACGGCACGTTGAAGACGGACTACAATTATCAGCCATCGAGGCTGAATTTTCTACTGATCAAAACATGATGAACCTAGAGTAGTGTGTTCTGTCTCTACGTGACAGAAATGTTTAACCCATAGATATTTAGAGATGGAAAGTCACCGGCATAAGTCAACGAAGTGTGTACAGTGATAACATATAGTAAAAGAGATATTAAGTCATATATATAAACTTTACTTCCTATTTATAAAATTTTACTTGTGAATATGAGTTATGTGTCTTCTATTTATAAGCTCAGTTGTTTTCTTGCACAGTTGTCATAGAATTGTTCTTTATTAGGCCTTTAGATATAATTGTCCATGACAAACGGGATTTATGAATCTTGCTTCTCATATTAAATCAATCAATTTGCTCGTTCTATGAGATTAAGGGGTAAATTAAATGCACCTATATTATATTACGATTACAATTAAGGGTAATTTATTATTTTCCTCTCATTTTTTTTTTAAAATAACCCATGTCAAGGTTTTTTTTTTTACCATTTAATTCTTTAAATTAAATTTGAATAAAAAGCCACTAACGTCAGTATCGGTACGGGAAATTTAAATAATTTACATGAAGTCCCAAGCTCAAATCTGCATCATTATTGTATCAAAAAAATTTGAAATAAATTTAACATAATTATTTTATCATACTAATATATCTATCAGCCAGCGATCCCACATATATGACTGGAAAATTTTGCTTTCACAATCGAATAATTTTCAAGACGTTATTCTCATGTTGGCTTGAGGGAGAGAGTATGGATAAAACAAGGATTTTTAAATAAGGGAAATTATTTTCTCATGTAACAGGAGATAGTTTTCTAATGTTATGAGACATAAAAAATCATGCTATTTTTTTTTTGTCTTTTTTAATAAGTGGTGAGTCCTACCACATATTGTATCTATGACATGAGAAATGATATCTCATGTGACATGAGAAAAGAGAAACACTTTAAATAATGGTGCCGAGGAGAGGGAAAAAAGAGAGAGTTATGTCAGGCAGATTTGGGATAACCACCAACAGTCATTAAGGGTGTGTTTGATACAAGTTTTATTTTAAGTTTGATAGGAAAGTGTGAATGGACATTGATGTATATCACGTTTGGTAGAAGTTATTGAAAAAAAAAAAATACTAAGCACCTTGGATGGATAGGAAACTGGTTTGTGTTGATTTTTGGCACAATAACACTGTTCGAAAATACACCTCAAGGGGTGGTATTTTGGATATGGATGGGGAAGTGAAAAAATGGTGTAATAAAAAATATTCCACAATAACACTCTTGCAAATTTTTTCGATAATATTTCGGTCAACCAAATATCTTTTTTAAATTTTTTTTATCAAACTTATTTTCTTATCATTTTCTTAGTAATTGTATTTCTCTATAAATTTTTATTTCTCTTGTGTCAAACGCCACCTAAAGGCTTCACATTTCACCAACGGTCATGGATATTATAAATATTAAACAGTTTTTGGATTACCAAATGAAGAAATGGTTTAAACTTTATGGATCTAATCTGCATTTTATCCAAAATTTAAATATCTTCTAGTGTGGATACTAGATACATTAATTTTTCACCACGCAAATGAATCACCTTTTGGGTTTTCAAAAGTTGAATTTTACTTTGCTAGGGTCATTATGGTAATCAACAATAGCCGACTTGCTAATGGTCCCTTCTCTTAATTTCAAAGTTGTCATCCTTGAAATTTTGTTCACTCCGTGTTTTGCGTAAAAACTGGCCTACTTAGTACTATGCCAATGGTGCATCGACATTTTTAAACGTCTTGTAGCGCAAATATCTTCTCCTCTCAACTATTTCAGCTGACAATTCTTGCATATAATTTTTAAAGTAAAATACACTTTATTTCTTTAAATTATTCTTTTAAAAACGGGGTATAAAATTTATGAGTTTTCATACGATCGTTTTACGTAAAGCTCAACAGTCGTTTCCTTACAATTTTTTTTTCCCCACTGAACTCCTCAAGTGGGTAAAATTATAATCTGCACTAAAGTTTTAATGTACAAATGTTATCAATTTTATTCAAATAAAATTCAACGAAATCTCATAAAATTACTGGAATCATGTTACGGACCTTATTCGATTTGCTATTATTATTTTTCTCGAATCATACTTAAAATGTAATTAAAATAACATTCAGATGAGAGGTTCGTGGCCCAGTTCCGATTGGAGGTTGACACCTTTTGACAATTCCAAAGGCAGCTTTCATTATCATGGGGGCCGCAAAAAGGGCAAAACAGGTGTTGCAAATTACAAGTCGCAAAAGGAAGAAGGCAAATGACAAGTGAACTCTGAAAAAGCTGCAAATATAATCACGTGACTAATGACTTTGACTAAATTGGAACATGGAAATGCATGGTAGATGCCGATTCCCACATCTAGGGACAACAAAAACTCTCGTAACCGTGTCATCCTTGAGAATTACTCATTGTGAAGAGCAAAAGGAATCAAGGATAAGAATCGAATCTATGCTGAAAACATTATTAACATGATACGTGAGTTGTTAGTAGTAGAATTGAGTAAGTGGTTGTCTACCTAAAACTAAAAATAAAAATAAAAACAAAAATAAAAATGAATAAATGCATAGAAAATGGCATCGATTCCATCTACATATATTATTATTGAACGAAGTTTAAATATTTTTATTTCTGTTTCATTTCGTATTTCGGATTAATCACATAGCTAGCTTAAAGAGTCGAAGTTCGTGGGAACCAACTTGTAATTAGAGTTGGGTTAACTTCAAAAAAATATTTATTATTAACAAAAATATACTATTGATGCAAAATTATTATTGTGTACAATGATATGCTACCATTTGCGGCGTCTTTCTATAGATCCCACAAGAGTACAAATCCAAAATATAATTACCAACCAACGATTGAACATCCCGATCCTCTTGTATCAAACATAATCTAATTTTTATTTTTTTCATTTACAAGGTTCGAATATGAACATTGATAACTTGGTTTGTTATTTATAAAATTTTTAAATTATCAAGTGAAGTTGTAACATATGATGTTAACATATATTTTAATTTTTTTTAAAAAAATTCAAAATTTATTTTAAGATTTTGCAAATACTCACAAAATTTTGATAGATACCGGGTATGAAAAATGAGAGCGGGCGAGGGAAAGCATTACTCTCCTCCGTCGCGATAATTGGTAAGGCGTCACGGTCGCAATCACGAGCCCGTAAACTACTCCACACTTTTACGTGTTTGTTTCTCACCGGTGTCCCGTGTTTATCACATGAAACTGGACGACGACGATCGATGCACATAAAACAGCAGTGTGTGGAAATGGAATAGTCTGCAACACGGGTGGGGAAAATATACTCTCAAATATGCACGTCAAATTTTTTTAATGTTATTTCTATTTCACACACTCTCATCTGTTCAATATTATGAACTGCTTTAGCTAAAAGATAAAAATTGTAATATGAGCTGGTTTAGATATTATGGGCTGGTTCAGATAATTATCCTGTCTTGTTTATTTAATTATATATATGAGAAATAGGTTTCTTATGTTGCAAGGGTTAAAATCTCTCATATTTTATTTAATATGACATTATTATATTGAGAAAACATAACCATATAACGGTGACAAGAAAAGAGAAAAAAAAAAAATTAAAATAAATAGTTACAAAATTATTATCATTGCTCCACTTTTATATAATTATGATTTCTCATATGATCCTGTCATGTTAAATAAAATATAAAAGGATTCATTTTTCATGTTGTACTAGATAACTTTGTCTCATATACATACAAAAAATGAATGAGGTCTATTTTTTTTTCTCTCTCTTTTCTCCTTAATTAATGAATCTCACATACTTTTTTATATATTGAATGAGATAAAATTATATCATGCAATATAAGAAACTTAATCCCTCTTTTAGTAGAAAGATTTTCAATTTTTTCAAACTCATTTGAGTACATTAAAATATTACAAATGTACTATTTTTTCTTTCTAAAAAAAATTATTGAGAAAAGCATATCCATCGACATTAAATATGTAGTAAATATTTGAGTTCCTTATTCAACTTGTATATAGATTTCAACTTTTAGTCTAACCATTAAATATAGGAATAACAGTCTCCACTAAAAAAGTATAACTGTGTTATTTTTTTTTTGTATATAAACTGTGTTAATTTTTATATAACATATTTAATACTTTTGAAAGTTGTAAAATTATTTAAAAAAAAAAATTAAAAAGCGGTCATGAATATATCTGGGTGGGAGTAACAGTTCAGTTGAGTGAGAATCTTCAGTTTAATGCTGAGATTTGAGTTTCAAAGAGAAACGTACGGTTATACGTTAAAATCCTTGTCATTTAAGTAGAAAGATGAGATTCATTTGGGATTGTGTGAGGTATTTTCTCTCCCCTTAATCGCAATGAATTTTTTAGGCAACTGCTATTTAGTATAGGTATCCAAGAAGCTTAGGTAATTAGTTAAACAAACGTGTGATTAGATAACTCAGGTGGCTAAATTACTTACTGGCCAGTCAAGCAAAGGGTGCGACCAATGCGGACTATGTTCTCATTGCATTATTACTTTTCTTTTTTTCTTTTTTTTTGAAATAAAGTATATTTTGAGTTATCACCAAAAATTATGAAACTTATTTTAATTTTTTTTTAAAAGAAAGTTCACTCTTGCAATTTCTCTAAAACACAAAATAAGTTTAGTTACTCGAAATTATGATCATTCTGAAATTTAAAGAAAGTTCACATTAATTTTTCAAAAAAAATAATATGAATTTATTCTAAATCTTAAAAGAATCATGAGTCAATTTTTTTTATAAGGAATTAAATTGTGCCCTATGATATTTATTTAAATTTTTTTTTGGTACAAACATAAAATCGCAATTATTAATATATTTTCTGTTATAATTGTTTATAAATTATATGGATTTACAATTACAACCTTAATTTATAGAATCCGTGTTTCTCATTTAATGCACCAAATAAAAAGTGGGACCGCCAGGCACCAGCCTACCTTGACGTTTGCACCTGCTTACAACATGGTGGGAAGTTGAGTATCTTACGCCCCCACTTTTTTTATTTATTTATTTACGCCCTCTTTTTTTAACTCTATTTAATGAACACCGCTTCATGAACCGTCTCACACTGAGTTTCCTCCCCCAAAGTAGCAAGTGATCAATGATCACTATTTTTGTCTTTCTTTCTCGTTTTCAAAACGCGTAACCAGTGTTCACCTATTAATTGTTAGTAAGAGAAGACACTGTAGCTTATAAATTACTTGTACAAACTTTGTAGACCAATATTCCCAAATCATCAAAATCAAAATGCCTTCAGAAGAAGCAGTGGTTGTGGAAATGGAAAACATAGCAAATAATGAAGGGATAGAACAGAATCACCAGCTTCAAGTTTCTGAACATCCCAGCCTCAAAGTGAAGCAAAAGTTGCGAAGATATGATTCTCTGGAAATGGAATCCCGCCGTTTCTCCCACGCCTGTGCCTCTAAAGTACGTCCAATATTTTTCCTCTTTCATTCATCATAGATTCTCGTTTAGTAGACATATTTCTAAGTATGACTAAACTAGGATGAGATTAGTCTCGTAGACTACTCAAAAAATTAAGGTTTATGGGACTGATTTTCCTATATATAAAAAGAAAATCAAACATATGTTATTGACAATTCAAGTGTGAGTAATGAAATCTCACGTAGCAAAGAAATAAGTTAACCATAGAATAAGCTAACTCAGAGTACATGTAAATTTATTTAATATTTAAAGTTTAGAGTTGAGAAATTTTCTCGTAATATCATGCATGCTTTGTTTATTTTTTCAATTACAAGGAATTAATCTAAGTGAACTATATATTAATTTGTTCCCAATAACAAATTAATTTTTTTCCTTTCATTTTTACGTGGACCAAGCCAGGGTTACTTTAATTGACCAATATGTGGGTATGTTTGTTGGTATACGATGATTGTAGGGACCAGCGATGACAGTGATACTGCAACTCGCGTTTCAAAGTATTGGAATAGTGTATGGAGATATTGGAACATCACCGTTGTATGTGTATTCAAGCACCTTCACAGATGGCATAAAACACAACGATGACATATTAGGAGTTCTTTCCTTGATCTTTTATACCATCACTCTCATCCCTCTTCTTAAGTATGTCTTCGTTGTGTTACGGGCAAACGATAATGGAGACGGTACTTGCATTCTTTATTAATTCTCTTATTTTTTTATTTTTATTTTTATTTCTTACAATGTTCAATAACTAATTATAAATACTTTTTGTTACTAACATGTATTAAGTTTAAACATTTTGTAGGAGGGACTTTTGCTTTGTACTCTCTAATATGCCGTTACGCCAAAGTTGGACTTATTCCGAATCAACAACTAGAGGACACAGAGGTGTCTAATTACCAGCTAGAGTTGCCGAACAAACGTGAGAAAAGAGCATCAAAGCTTAAGTCTAAGCTTGAGAATAGCCACTTTATGAAGCTCTTCCTCTTATTTGCTACCATGCTCGGCACTTCCATGGTCATTGGTGATGGTGTTCTCACCCCTTGCATCTCTGGTTAGTTTATAATATAATTTTATTTGTTTGTTTATGACATGCCTTTTGTTTCTTTTATTTATAATGAATATACAAAATATGATAAGAATGCAGTTTTTTTTTTTGTATTTTCATCATGAGATAAATATACTAAATAGTATATATTTCGTTTTGTTGCAGTTTTATCTGCTGTGGGAGGGATCAAGCAAGCTGCTACCCAAATAACTGACGGTAAGTACTTTTTTTTTTAATCTCTGTTGATAGCAAAAGTAATGAAAGAAAAGTAAAGGTAAGTAGGGCTCTAAGTATATAAGTCTTATAATGTGTCCTTTGTGTAAAATTTTCCCAAATTATTATCACCTGACCTTATCTTAAATACTTGTAATAATAATAATCGATTAAAATATTGAATTTTTGCAAGCTACATTAGAATGCTAAGTTTTTAAAAACAATTAATTTCAAGGGCACCCTTTCAACCTCAAATAAATATTAGGATACAAAAATAATGTAACAATAGTACTAATAGCTACATTTAGTTTTATTAATCCTGATTATGATAATAATTAATGCAAGTTCTGTTTTTTGTACACAGATCAGATTGTTTTGATATCCGTAGCAATCTTGGTGGGCCTTTTCATGGTTCAGAGGCTAGGAACTGATAAAGTGGGATACAGTTTTGCTCCCATTATCTGTTTGTGGTTCACCTTCATCGCAGGCATTGGCGTGTACAATTTCATCAAGTATGACGCAACGGTCATTAAAGCAATAAATCCAAAATACATAGTAGATTATTTCAGCAGGAACAAGAAAGATGCTTGGATTTCTCTTGGTGGCGTTGTGTTGGCCATAACAGGTTCATATACGATTTCAGTGTTGTGTATAAAACTCCTAATCTTTCTTAATCTTGTGCAGTCCACAACTCTAGATATGATGTGAATTTTTTTCTTATTGCAGGAACTGAAGCACTATTTGCTGATGTTGGACATTTCACGGTTCGGTCCATACAGATAAGTATGTGCTCTGTGACATACCCTGCTCTCATATTGGCTTATGCTGGACAGGCCTCGTTTCTTCGCAAAAACAATGATCTTGTTAGCGAAACATTCTACAAGTCCATACCAGGTAACTTTTCTAACCACTTAAAAAGTTTAAGACCATGAACATAACCAATTTAATAATTACAGAAAATAAAAAATAAAACAAGATTGTTTTATAACAACTAATTAAATATGGCTTCATGTTTTGCAGACCCTTTATATTGGCCAATGTTTGTGATTGCTGTTTTGGCAGCAATCATAGCTTCTCAAGCCATGATCTCTGGAACATTCTCTATAATCCAACAATCCCTAGCATTGGGATGTTTTCCACGTGTGCAAATTGTACATACATCAACCAAGCATGAAGGACAAGTTTATATCCCAGAAGTTAATTACATCCTCATGATTGCTTGTATTGCCATCACTGTTGGGTTTAAAACCACCACAAAAATTGGCAATGCCTACGGTAACTCATTCTATTATAACCTTTTTCTTTTAGACTTTAGTCTCACTTGATAGTATAAACAAGCCATTGTTTACGAGTAAAATATTATGAACAAGGAAAATTCTGAATAGATACACTTGTGCAATGCAGGTATAGCAGTGGTGTTTGTAATGACACTTACATCTGCTTTCCTCGTGCTAATCATGATCATGATATGGAAGACCCACATTCTTCTTGTTATTAGCTATGTACTCGTCATTGGTTCTGTGGAGCTTGTTTATTTGAGCTCAGTTTTATACAAATTTGACCAAGGAGGGTATCTTCCTCTTACACTTGCTGCGGTGTTAATGATCATCATGTATGTTTGGAACAATGTGTACCGAAGGAAGTACTATTATGAATTGGATCATAAGGTTTCTCCAGAGAAGGTTAGAGAGATTGCTGCTGACACAAATTTGTGTCGAGTACCTGGTCTTGCAATGTTTTACTCAGAGCTTGTTCAAGGTATCCCACCTATTTTCAAGCATTATGTGGCAAATGTGCCTGCACTGCACTCTGTCCTTGTCTTTGTTTCCATCAAATCCTTGCCTATTAGCAAAGTTCCAATGGAAGAACGGTTCCTTTTTCGCCGAGTTGAACCAAAAGATCTGAACATATTCCGATGTGTTGCTAGATATGGATACACTGATGTCCGCAATGAGAATGAGCCTTTTGACAAGTTGCTTGTTGAAAGATTGAAGGAATTTATTGCTAAGGAGTTTTGGTTGTCACAAATGGAGCTTCAGAATGATCAATATGATGAAAAATTGAATGTTGATAAGGTTGATGGAGCACTTGAAGCTAGTAATGAAGAAAGACTACAAGAGGCAATCGAGAAAGAGATTGAGGCAGTAGAAAAAGCATCACGTGCAGGTATTGTTCACTTGATTGGTGAAAACGAGGTGATTGCTAGCAAAGGAGCTAACATTGGAAAGAGGATTTTGATAGATTATGCCTACAATTTCTTGAAGAAAAACTTGAGACAGAGTGACAAAATATTTGATATCCCCCACAAACGTTTGGTCAAAGTGGGAATGACTTACGAACTTTAAAGAACTAAACTCTGTACAGATATCAAAGGAAGAAAAATAGTTTTTTTTTTTGGTTGGAGGAGAAACTCTGTATGCTCAACAGATAAGCCTTTGCTCATAGGGCACTTCTCCTTGTTATGGTAGGGGGTGAACAATCCCCAAAATCCCATTTCCCCTCTCTCCCTCCCGAGGGCATGTTTGATACATATAATACCTGATAGTATAAGATCTGATTAAATTTTAATATCATTCAGCATTTGATATGATATTGTATAAAATAATATCATCCAATATTTGGTAATACACTGTATAATACTAGATAAGATAAAAATAAATATTTTTGACAAAAATATCTTTTAATAATAAAATTATATAATTCTTCCAAATATATTATATGAAATTAATTTTTATAGAAATCTGCTGATCAGTGTGTCCAAGAAATATACTAATTTTTATATAAATAAAAATATCCAATATTTTAAAAAGTTTACATATTGAAAATTTATTTTTATTTTTAATATATTAATATTAAAATAATATATTAATTCTTGAAAATTGCATTAGTTAATACATCAATTCCTTATCAGGCATAATCCTACCCTCCTAGGCATGATTAAGTTATATATTATTTTGATGTATAAAGGAATCCTGCTGTATAAGCTTATACTATACGATAGTCACACTAAATAACTAAAAATGTCATAACGTATAGTATAAACTTATAATATCACGTATAATATTATATATTGTACCAAACAGGCAAGATCCTAATAGGGGCCTCTGTATAACTGAAGAAAGAAGTTCTAGTATGTTCTTTAGTCAAATTTTTGGAAGCAAGTGCCATAATTTGTATATGTTCGCAGGGTAAGAAAAGAGAGCTTTTGTTGCTAAGTGTTTAATATTTGTCCACATTTAAATTGAATTTTGAATTGCATGTATGTGGGCATGAGGTTTTAAATAATCTAACTTGACAAATGTGAATGTGTTAGCTAGGGTGTGAAGTCAATTCTTCAATTAATTAAACAGGAAATTATAATGTAACATTCAATTAAACACAAACAACTAGTTTGTTTAATTGAAATAAGAATGCTCTGACGCCAACAACTAAGTAATGATTATGAAATTCTCAATTTTAATAGATTAAGACGAGTTTTTCCGTATGACTTTGCGCAAGTTATGGATTTAATATCTTTCTTTGTTTTAGTATATAAGCTAAACGTGTAACTGATCTAATAAATTATAAAACCATTTCATATCTCTTTGTAACCGATAAAAAAGAAAGATCACTCCTCATCAATAACTAGTATAACAAAATATTTTTGTTTATTAATAATAGATATACATATCCTAGATGATATTGTATATAATATAGTACTCATTGCAAATTGGAGTTAAATCATGAATTAATGCAGAGGCAAAGTATTTACTAATTGGGATTAAAGTACTCACTTTTTGACAGCATTTTTTCTAGCTTGCCTCTTGTTTGTGGTTGTGTCTGTTTCAGCAGAATCTAGAAAAGAACAACCAAAAGACTTTGATATGGAGCCATCCTCTCGTTTTTGGCCGAAGACAAAGAGCCATCCTTACTTTTTGATAGATGATCCATATTCTTTTGAAAAACATAAAACTAAATAAATAAATAAATAAAAAGCATCATCATCATTGAAACCTTATTACGACGAACTGGAAGATAGAAACACAAATTTATAGGTGGTCCCGAGATTTCACTTGAAATTAGTGATTTGACACATTGTTAATTCTTTCACATAAGAAATAAATTAATTGGTCGTGATACCTACTGGTAATATGTTAATCTATAAGAAAACATAATACCCATCCACGTGAATCTTTACTTTGAAGTTTAATCAAGAACCACGGCATCGTGGCATATGATTTAGTCTGCGTTTGAATGGTTTTTTTTTTTTTTTTTTCTTAGAGAAGTTGTTTTTTTCCAAAATAAAAGTCTTTTTTAAAGTATTTTATGTGTTTGGATAGTATCTTTTAGAAAGAAAAAAAATATAATTTAAAAAAAAATTAAAATAATATTTTTTTTTAAAAGTCAGGATTCTTTACTTTTAAAAAAAAAGTATTGGTTAAAAGTTAAATATTTTTTAAAATATTTAATTTTACCCCAACTGCACTCCACTCCTCTATCATCATTATCATCACATATCTAGTAATTTTATATATAAAAAGCGTTTTTTGCATCCAAATAAATTTTTTATTTAGAAGTACTTTTTATGAGGTTCATCCAAATATAAAATAATTTTAACTTTTAAAAAAATTTATTTAAAAAAATAGTCATAAAAAAGTCCATCCTAGGGGCTTACTTATTTAGCAATTTTTATCTCTTTTTTTTATAAATAATTTATAGAAGGGCTTATCAATCTATACCGCAGAATTAGATTAAAAAAATATCTTGTAAGGATTGAGTTACTTAATTATAGATTTTGATTGATTAATGTTTAATATATTATTAAAAAGATAATAAATATTCTTCAACATGTCAAGAAATTAAAAATTATTAATCAATTAAGTTAATTAAGATTGATTCAAGTGAAATCTAAGTATTACTCTTATGTCTTGTTAGTTTTTCCTTTTATTAGAATTTGACTCCTTAATTTTTACTTTTTTTTTCGGGTTGACATTAGTTTAATTGAATTTTTTTGGTAATAAATTAAATAATAATAACATTAACATGATTTTGGTATCTATGGTTTAGTATCCTTGCGAATTTTCCCATCAATAACATCAAATTGAGCTTTATATATCATATAGGATGGAAAATTGAATTTCACATACGCCAAAAACAAAAAGAATATCTCTTGATACCGGAATATATGAGTAACTAGTGAAGATTCTGACGAAAATCAAGGAATCAGTCACTAGGACCTACGGTGCTAGTCTTTGATCTTATTTTCCACACACTTATATGTTACACATATGTATAAACGAAAAGTATAAAAAATATAAAATATTTTGAAAAAATTCAGGTTGCAAGGGAGAAATAAAACTTTTAAAGCACCCTGTAATTTTTTTTCATTAATATATTAGGGGGAAATCTGATTCATCAGAACATGAAACTACCCTGCTAACGAAATTTTTAAATCAAAATATTTACAGGACCTACCACGTAGGCCCTTGGTTCATAGCTTGATTTGAATTTGAACTTTTTTTTTATAAGAAATGTTTTTCTGAAGTTACATAAAATTTTTTATCTCATGTTATAGACACATCACAATCTGAGTCAGCATTTTTTTTTTTTTTTCTTTTAACCGTAGGACCCATCCAATTATGTCTTCATATGAGATAATACTATTTCATGTAGCATGAGAAAAGCATTGCCCTTTTTGGGTTTTATTAATCTCATGTTAAAGGAGATAAGTTATCTCATGTCATAGAGATAAACTTGTGGGCTCCATCACCTAAAAAATAAAAAAAAAAGAAAAAGGCGGCACAATTATCGAATGATGTGTATGAGAGAAACTTATCACATATAACATGAGAGTAGTTTTTTCAATAAATTAATGGTTATTTTTTTCTTATTTTTTATCTTAATATATTTTTCGATCACCATTAATTTGCATATTAAAATTCCCAATTCATAAGTCAAAATGATATAGTGCGGTTGTTCATTACTCCTGCAATAAAGCTTAATAAAGAACATATAACTACAAAGATCAGCCATAAATCACATGATTCTCAAGCTATACTGTATATGTTACTCTAATAAGAGATCAGCACTAAAACTCTTGCACAAACATATATGTAACTGATCTCCAAAAAAAACATATATGTAACTGATACATGCATCTTGAATATATAATATCAATAACAAATTTTATCACTTTTGTTAGCTCTTTCTCCCTCCAATTTCCTTTACTTATGCAAAATTGCAAATACCTTTTCAGGGGCTCGGCCTAGGGCATTTTCACCATTATAGTCTTTATTTAATAATTAATTATCAAATTGATATTGATTAAAAATTATTTTAAAAATTTAACCTTTTCAGAAAATATAACATCACTCTGTTTCTGTTTAACCGTTGACCATCAAGCCTATCCGGGTAATCCTTTCTTATCTGAGTATTTTTTGAAAAAATTTTCTTACCCAAATAATCAAGAGAATATCCTAGTATATTTTAAAATTCTGAAAAAATATTTGAATTATTCAAGGAGGAGCTACCGGGGTAAATGTTCGTACAAGCTTGTCACTGACAAACTCACTCGCCTTCTTCTCCTCACTCCTTTCCCTCACCGCGAGAACGTTGAAATTCTCAAGCTTCCAACAGGCCGTGGCACTGAGATTGTGGCACTCTACATTCGGCACCCAATGGCCACTTCCACAGTGCTTTACTCTCATGGAAACGCTGTTGATCCAGGCCAGATGTATGAGCTCTTCATTGAGCTCAGCATCCACTTGCGCGTTAACCTCATGGAGTGCTCTGTTTTTTTACTAAACTCTTTTTGTTTTCTCAAACACTGCTTTTTTCATTTTTTTGGTCTGCAATTTGGAATTTTGATGCTTTGTTCTCGTTCTTGTGTTTGTTTTGCTTTCTTGGTTTCTGTAAATTTGGCTTCTGGGTTTTCATCTACTTGGAGAGAGGACTCGTGTGTGATTTGGAATCTTGGGAAAATGGGTACTCTGAGTTTGTGAGTTGCGATTTTAAGGTGAACTCAGAATTGGCGTTACTTTGGTTTCTTTTTTTTTTTTTGGTATTCTGTTATGAGTAATATATATTTGAATCTGCATCTAGCATTGAAACTGTGGAAAAAAAGAAGAGCAGGAAGAAATTGGAATGGTGGGAATCAATGGATGAGAAAAAGAGTGGTAGTGGAGTTCTGAAGATGGAGATGAGAAGGCCAGCAAGGGAATGGTGGAAGGATGAGTATTCTGACGAGCTTGCCAAGAAGAAGAAGAAGAAGAAGAAACAGAAGCAGAGAAAGAGAAAGGGTGAAAACAGTGATGACAATGGCGATGATTGGTGGGAGAGGGATGATAGTAATAAAAATCGTAATAGGAGTGTAGATTCGTGGTTTAGTGGGGAGCTAAGGAGAGCTCGCAGGAATAGCTATGATTCTGGTAGTGGTGAAATACACAAGAGTGGTGGTATGAACAATACTCGAAGCTATGAACATTTATTCGGGTAGCCCAAATAATTCAAACATTTTCCTAGAATTTTGAAATATATTAGGGCATTCGCTTGACTAGAAAAAATTTTAAAAAATATTCCGATAGGGTAGGAAGGGAACTATCCGGGTAGGCCTGATGGCTTCTCTACCCGGGTAAATAATTCAAATATTTTTCTAG